AGGAGAGAGTGGGGGGGGGGGGGGGGAATCCCGCTCAATGGAGCTTTAAGTAGGTTTCTTTGGAAACTGTGTTCCACCAGGTCAATTTGACCCAGTGCATGCTTCATTCAGTTGAACCCATTGACCTACCAAATTAAACCAAAAGTGTCCAAAAAAAGTAAATATGTCAATGAAGATTGTTTCTAAGTGAGTAACTCTATTAATCGCCGTTTCAAAATCCGATAACCGTTGTTGTTTTATGACATTTCAAAAAGAAATACTTCCAAAAAAAAATGTATTGATTTAACTTTTAATCGGGTCAATATGACCCTAGGCATGTTTCATAATCCATGTCAGAAATGCACCGGGGTGTTTCATTAACCAGTGTCGAAAAGTCGAAAGTCTAAAACTGAAAAAAATATCCCAGTTAACCTTGTTTTAAGACATTTCTTGCCCAAAAAACTTATTTTCATTGGTAATTATCTTCTAAATGGGTCAATTTGACCCGGAGTCTGTTTCGTTAGCTAGAAAGTGTCCAAAACACGCACACAAAAAAAAATCTAAACATGAAGACATTTAATGATGAAAAACAAAATTTAACATGTCAATGTTATGTGAGATGACCTTACGGTTCACTTTGACCCACCAGTGAACAGGAGGGTTATTTGTGTTGTTGTTTTTTTGTTTTGGTGGGGTTCTTGATCGATACACAAGATAAACTGAACTGTACAATACATTTTTACATGCTTCAGAACGTCCAAAGTCGTTTTCCAAGCACTTTTTCTGCCTTGCACTGTCAACCACCATCCTGTGTTTATGTATTTATTCATCATGCCTTATTGGAGACTTATGACATCATGTTTCAAGTCAGTAGGTACTAAAACAAACAAAAAAGATGATGCATGATTTTTTTAGCAGACCTGATTGTAATGCATGCAATAATCCACAAGTGTGTCATACTGTGTGCGAAGGGGAATTTGTTCATATTGTAGCGAGCATGTTGTAGCCTTCCCAAATGGAAACCATTTCTTTGTTCACCGAGGTGTACAAACTATGCACTCCGCAACTATGAGGAGGAAAACGGGCATGCTTATTAATGTTCTTGTTCAGTGGTTTTGTATGACTAACAAAAAAAAAAAAACAACCCAAAATGTATTCCTCAAAACTCAGCAATAGTAATGATGAGAATAAAATGCAGCATGGTGCCAATGACAGGCCTTGTGTGTGTATTATTGTGACCTTTGACCTGTCTACACAGAACGACTAATACCACAACTGAACTCATGTGGTCGCACTAGTGCGTACGCCCTCTTTTGAAACCTGGCTGTGTTTTTCGATTGAACCGATCGCATTCGAACCCGGGGTAAATTGGAGTCGGCGCATCCCCAAATAAAGTTCAGCTGGTGATCCTGACATTTTTTCAGTGGCATCATACGGCATATTATATTCATAAAATGTGGCATTTGAACAACATCTTTTTTGTTTGGCCTCACAATAAACACGGGCATCACTTGTCCACCTTGCTTCTGATCTTCCTTACTTCCGCCAGGCGGCTTTTCATGTCATCAAAGTACAGTTCAAACTGCTGCCTCACCTGCAACCCAACATTTTTCGTTTAGATCCTTTACGTGATCAAACATGAGCATCAAAGTTAGCATGAAAGTCTCTTTTGTTGACGTTTTACCTCGTTGATGCTTTCCATGAGCGGCTTAATCTCAAAAGACAAGGCGGACGCTTTCACCATGGAGCAGGTGTCCAGCACATAACTGGAATAAGAAATCGCCATCTTACTGGTTGTGTACACTGAACAGGTGACGCTTTAGCGCTGTTACTGACCATGCGACTAGCATCTTGTGGAGGAGGAAGAGGGAGCGGGCCGCGGCCAGATGTTGCGGCGCTGCGTGCACCACTTTCCCCACTGTGCAGCCGCACTCGCCACACATCAAGGAGCTGAAAATGCTGGGGAAAAAAATATTAATAATCAAGGATGGAATGTACACGGCCCACTGGTATCAAACCCCATAATTTTTTTGGCTTTCTTTTCGTTGAAATTCAAGAAGTTCAGTGACATCTACGCTTTGATTTCCTCCAGGCAGGACAAAATGGGTCTGAAGGAGAAAGTCTCCTTTTTTGCTCAGCGGGACACAAATCTGTCTGTCATCAGCAAAGCAGTGAGGGCAATACAATGATTTCTTATGATGGAACCCAGGGGCAGCAAATCCAATGAAAACAAAAGGGGCCTCAAAATTGAACCTTGTAGAACACCAATTCATCATCTGATTAATGAAAAGACTATATAATGAATAAAATATTGTATTTTGTTGTCCCTAAAAGATGAAGCACGTAGTCTGGAAGGTGCTAGCAAGATTTGAATGCAGCATCACGTACCAGTTTGACTTTGTATTTTGGGAAATGGGCAATCAACTTAAAAAAAACGTTGTACTTTATATTAGACAATGGGTGATTTCACACAATGTATTTATTTCTATTGGATAAATTCTATTTATCACGATGCCATTTACTATGTCCAATTTGCAACAACATCATTATTATTTGTCTTCCTTACCAGTTAGCCAGTTCTCCTTTATTTCCACATTCCATTTCACGACTCACTTCCACGTTATCGGTGACGCCTGCAGACAAAAGCAACAAATAAAATGTCGGTGCGCCGCAAACTTCGACATTCGGTGCGCCACATATAAACTTGCTGAAAACTTTTTCTTGCCGCAAAATATGATGGAGTCCAAACATTTGAGCTCCCCGCACACAGACATGGAGTCTCCCAGCACCGTGTTGCACTGCCTGCAGTGAAAGGTCGCCCACCGCCCGGGTTCCAATAGCGTGGCATCGCCGTCGTCGCGTTCGATGAGGATGGTCTTGTTAAACTCCATGGTGATGTGTTTTTATGCGGAAGCAGAAAAAGCGCACGCTGCCCGCTTTGTGTTGTTTCTCCCGGTGCAGGCGGTAGCGACATAGAAAATATTTTTAGGTAAAGTTTTTTAAATGACTACTCGCTATTATGCTGCTGTTAGAATAATGGCGGTTTTCTCAATAAAGGAAGTCCGTGCATGTAAATCCTCTCCGATTGGCTGAAAGCGTCCGCATGATTGTGTCTGCGATTGGACGAGAGTGTTCCTGTTTCACACCAACAGCCAATCAAATGCGCCTCGTGACTGCGGTTTGAAAATAGAGGCCCCTTCGGATTGTTGCACAGATGATCTGATCATCTAACCCACTATTGCTAGAGTGCGTGCGAGTAACATTCCAACAATGCTAAGTTTCCGAACAGCCTGAAATGTAGCAGAGCGGCCAGGAAGTTCATTTTCGAACGCAACCACGACAAACGTCCGTACGCTGTACCAGGCATTTCGGCGGACGTGCCTAAGTGGACGCCACCTTGGTGGGGGCAACATGCCTATTAAAGTCAACATGTACATCGAAAACAAATCATAACTTTGATTTTCCCGACCGTTTTTCACGAGGTTCGCTTTATAGTCAATGGCAGACCACGTGCTATTAATATGCTATATTTGATTAGTTTTTTTCTTCCAATTCAGCATTGAACTTTTGTAATTATGCTTTAGGTGCGACAGTTTTTTTAATGTTCAGCCATTAAATATAATGAAGCAGTGGTATAAAGCAAAGGTTTCAAATTAAAAATATTAATAGTAATAGCACTACTAGTGTTGTAGCTATATTTTTTTATTTCATTTGAAGAATTAATTTGTTTTGAAGCATTTTTTCATGATACAGTGTTCAGTCATTGTTTCTCTCTTTCAAATGTTTCTCTTTCTTCCTTACTGTATTACACAAAGGTGATATGTCGGCTGTATTTTTTTTTCTTGAAATGTATTTACCTGCTTTCCATATCTTTCCTTGCACTAACCTGTTTAGTAAACTAAAAGGTGAAAAACAGCTCTGTCTTTGTTTTTTTTTTTTTTTTTTTTTATTATCTGGAAGAAACTTGATCTAGTAGTCTGAGGTTGGAGACCTCCATGTGGACGCAAGCTGAATGTTCAGGTAGTTTGTGGGTGTGTGCAGTGTCAGTGGGTGTGGACATGCCTGTGTAGATATATAATGAGTAAGTATGCATGTTGATTCAGAAGTGCAGCAGGCAGGAACAGGCACGGGGGCAATGGATCCCCAGCAAAAAGTTACAATACTGCGAGAGGGCTTCCTGGTGAAAAGGGTAAGTTTTGAATACACAATTTTCTTGTTGTCACGTGCGCAATGTCCTCTTCAAGTGTGTTTTCCACCAGGGTCATCTCGTGCACAACTGGAAAGCGCGCTGGTTCGTGCTGACGCCAGACAAGCTTACCTACTACAAATACGACGGCGGGAAAAGAGACTCATGCCAGCGGGGGAAAATCATGCTGAAGGATTGTGTCATTACTTGCCCCTTCCTGGAGTACGACAATCGACCTGTGAGTCTCTGGTCTTGAACTTGACACATTTTTTTTTTTTTTAAATGTCCTTGCACTGCTATATGATGATCGTGTTGATGAAATGATTGCTGCATCTGAAAACACTGGGCATGGCCTTTAATATGATGTATGACACGATGTGGTTTTCCGCAAATCAAAAATCAACACTGTCTCAAATCTGTATCACAATATCGAGATTCGGTTTGTGACGAACAACGTCTGCTTTATACCTCATAGGCTGCAAGCAGTGCTTTTTAGATTGGAATGTCTTTTTTTTTTCTTTTTTACGAATATGACGTGATATATCGTAATTTCCTTTGCCTTGAGCCAGCTGACTGGATGCTGAGTCAGCGTCTGCTAGAGTCATTGTGATGACATCATCGCGATGAGATCATTGCTTATGCTTGTTGTTTATGAGCTCACTTTTCATCTCCATCCGTTTTGAACACCGCTTATCCTGAACATGGTCGAGGGGGTGGTGGTGTTCAGCTTTTTTGGAATGTTTTTCAAGCATCAAATTCACCATGAGAGTATGTGACACCCCCCACGGCCCCCCCCCCCCCAAAAAAGTATTTCGTTTGAACATTAAATATCTTGTCTTTGTAGTGTATGCAATTGAATCTACCGGTAGGTTGAAAAGGAATTGCAAATCATTGTTTTTTGTTTTTTTACATTTTCTCATGTCCCACTCTGTCCCATTGTTGTATGGTGTTCCACAAGGTTCAATTTTGAGGCCCCTACGGTTTTCATACAATGTTCCAAGTTCACTGGAATCGGAATTTGCGTAAATAGTGAGTCATGTTCTGCCGAAGCCTTGATGTTACTGTTTAACCCGCTCTGCCGTCTATGATTTCATCGTAAACATTTCCAAATGATTCTCCTGTATTATGACTCATAGTGACCAGCCATGCCCACTGGGATACATTGTATTTGTGCTGCCTTTTACAGTTGGTGTTTCGGCTTCAGACCAAGAACTGCGTCAATCACTTCCTGGAAGCGTGTTCCCGGGAGGAGCGAGACGAGTGGGCCGGCGACATCGCGGCAGCAGCGGACAAATTGGAGGCCGGAGCAGACGCTGATGGGGATGGGTCACTTAGTATCAGTCCGTCCACATCAGAAGGCTCGCAGCCACACAACATCAACCTGAGGTGAACTTATCCGTGCTTTAAAGTATCCAAGTCCCTTTTAAAACTCTCTAAGAGTCATTTCAGATAAAGACCATTATGCTCTAACAAACTGTAATTGCTCTTTAAAGGAGCTTGATTCTTGCATATGTCCATTTAAAGCTGACTTTTTATACAGTAGGTCTTAAAATAGCACCTGACGCGCTCCATTTTGTTTGTTTAAAAAAAAATGCATGAGTTGTTGTTGTTGTGTTATAGCAAAGTACTGGAGGCCATGTATGACGTTCACAGTGGAATCAACATGAGCAACCACGTGGAGCAAGGACGCATGTTCTCCAACTGCTTCTCAGGTTATACGCAGTCACAGTTCTTACATACGGCTCCTTTAAAGTAGCCAAGTTGGCATTCGTATATTGGCTCTGTAAAGTATCTGATTTCTTCTAAAAAAGCCGAACGGTATGATTCCCGCGTAGGCTCTGCAGTGGTGGACTGGTTGGTGTTCACGCAGCTGGCGCTGACCCGAACCGAGGCGGTGACGTTGGCGTCAGCCCTTCTGGAAGAGGGCTTCCTGCGCACCATCGGCCTGCGGAGCGTGGAGGCGCTGCGCACTGCCGGCCTCAGCGAGCTCTTCCTGGATGACTCCACGGCGCTTTACAGCTTTGTGAGTAGCAAGCAGGGGGCTTGATCCCCCCCCTATAATGCAAATGGCGTATTACTGGGTTACATTTCTTGTGATTGCTTATTTGGGCACTCAATACATGTTTTTACGATTGAACAATTTTTAAAATAATTTTAAGTGGCATCCGTCAGGGAAGTTCTTGAGGTGACTCCACATTAGGGGGCAGTGCCACACCAAATCCAGCTGAGGTTGTTATTTGTCCACCCATTTTCTTTCTGATATGTTTTTAAATACAAATTAGACTCAGACCGGAGTATATTTGTCTATGGGTAAGAATGTTGCCGTTAAATACTGATGGGGTGAAATTGGTCCCAATTAATTTATTAATTAATCAATTGATTAATTAATTAATTGAAAAAAAATACATTTACTTGGGAAAAACACAAGTAAAAACATAGTATTTGTCATCTTAGAAAGCTGTCATTTTTTTGTACTTTGTTTTAAAATGCTTTCGACATGGACAATTAACGAATAGTAATTCATAAAATAGAAATAAAGCCCCTTAAAAAAAAATTATAAAAAATTCCACAAAATCTTAGGCATTTAAATGTGAGTTTATTAATAAAAAATACTAAACAAAACAAATAACACTATGGGAATTTAAATAAATACGTACATACGTAACATTTTTGGATGTTAATTAATTAAAAACCCTAAAATCATATCTTGGGCATTTCAACAATACAAGTTTATAGATAAAATAAAGAGCGAAATCGCACCATGGCTATTTAAAGAAAAAAATTCTATATATATAAATCATTGCATTGTATATCGCTCATGTCAGATGTTTTTCAACTACTTTTCAAATCGTCAGTCAGACAACTTGAAGAAGCGAGGCTGCGTGAAAGCCGAGACCACACTGTCTGCGGTGGAGCTCAGCGGTCACGTGATCAAGAGAGGCTACCTGCTCAAACAAGTAAACCCACGAAAAACAAATAGCTACCTTTTTTGGCATGTTTTGTTCCATTTTGAGTGAATGTGTCCCTGCGCAGGGCCACCGGCGGAAAAACTGGAAGATTCGGCTGTTTGTGCTACGCTCCGAACCTTCGTTCCTCCACTACTACGACCCCACCAAGGTGCAATAGCAAATGTTGTGTGTTACTTATTGCCTAGTAACGCACACAAACACACGTGCACTGAGTCAGTCTGTGAGCCATTTCCTGTCTGATTTCAGGACGATATCAGCCCCGTCGGAGGCTTCCCACTCCGAGGCTCGCTGGTGTCCTCACTGGATGATAATGGCGTTCCCTCTGGTAAGTCTCACTGAATGTCAGAGCTTTTTCCTTGACGGAAGCTTTTATATATGCAAAGGGGCAGACGTTTTCAGTTCCTGATTGACAGGGCAGTACAGTATATCCACTGCACTTTTAAGTAGCATTACCTCAGGGAAGTGTTTGAGGTCCCATTGTTTTTGACAAAATGCACGCTCTCTTGAAGGTGAAGATGTTTTAGCTTCAAAGGAAGCTTGACCAGTTATCCAAGTACTTTCATCCAGTCCCATTTTGAGTGGCGTCCCTCAGGGGAGCGTTTGAAGTCCATTTAAAGTTTGCGAAACGAATGGGAGGTTTGACCAGGTAATCCAAAATTTTGTTCACTGCAATTTTGAGTGGAGTTCTTGAGGGTAGTCTTGTCCATTTGTTTTTTTTTTTTTGTTCATCCCCTGATCTGAAACTGCATCAAATTTAGAGGGTCAAAATATGCAGACTTCGGGCAAAAGACAGACTACTGTCCAGGTGCTTTTATTCACTCCAATTTTGAATGGCATACCTCAAAGAAACCTTTAAAGTCCATTTGTTTTCTCCCTGTTCTGAAAGCTTGACCAGGTGTCCCAGTACTTTTGTCCACTCCAATTTTAAATGGAGTTCCTCAGGGAAGCCTTTGGAATCCTTTTATTTTCTATAAACTATCAGATAGACTGAGAGGCCAGTAAGAGGGTGAACATATTAGCAACAGCTCTCCAAATCATACAGAAAAAAAAATCTTCCTTGTAATTTTGTGTATTGTGAGCTTGTTTTGATATATACCTAATGTTTTGTCTTCTGGCTTCCCTTATAAGGTGTCAAGGGCAACATCCAAGGCAACCTGTTCAAGATCATCACCCAGTCGGACACACACTATTTCATCCAGGCTCCGAGCCACCAGGAGAAGATGGATTGGATCGACGCCATCCGGGAGCATACGTAGCCCAACGTGCAGCGCTGCTATGGAAAAGTGGTGTCACACAATATCCCGCCAGGTGTCGTCATGTAGCTCATGTCAAAGGTTGCTAAGCATAGGAATACTTCAAAAAGTCTATAATTGTTTTCAAAATACATTTTTTTGTGTATGTTATTACATGTGTTGGATATTTATTTATTTTTTATTTTACAGGGCTAAATCCAAATATGGGAATATGGTAAATCATAGAATTGTCAGGCCACAGGCACTTCAAAAAAACCTCCCGATGTATTTCATGTATATTGTCATAAAGATTAAACTTAATCTTTATTTGTGTTTGTTGGTGAGCAAAGAGCAAAGAAGTGTGACGAGTCGGAACATGACGCTCGCCACTCCTGCCCCCGCAAGCCCGGTATGGCCTTCGGCGCGATGAGTCACAAACTGGCACCATTTAAACATAAATAAATTAATAAAATCCCAGCAGGGCAAATAACAATCAAGGGAATTTTATTCCAGGGAAGTAAAGTCGCAATCAAGCAAAAAAAAATAGTTCTTGCTGTTGCTAAAAAACATTTAAAGTGTGTGGGTGTGACCTTTGTAAGATTTATGTTCAGAAGAATACACATTAGCAGAATGCGCAACAAGACTGTGTCATTGACACCTTGACAGTACCAGCATCCACCAATGCAGTGATTCCCAAAAGTGTGACTTGAGTACCAGAAGTGGTACGTGAACAATGTTTAAAACATGAAAAACAATAAAACATCAAATGAGAGTCATGCTTGTACAGTCGCTATGCCTATAGGCCGTTTCAACATTTTTTAAAATCTAGTGCGGTACGTTTCCTATGTTATATTTTACATTTATATGTTACAGTGGCATGCAACTTCTGCCCTATTTTTTTTTTTTTCATGAACACTTGGTCCTACTACCCTACTGTATTTTAATGTTTGTTGTTCTGGTGGCAGTTGGGGCAATAAGTATTTCTTGTGGGTGACACTTGGTGTCAATAGTTTGAGAACCACTGCACTACAGGAGTACAGTGCAGTACTTTTATCATCAGTGAAGATCAGTCCAGCGGTGGCATCTCTTTGTGTGTTTTATATTTAATACAGATCATGAATGAAGTGGGTCCTTCCTGCGTAAGAAAACAAACATTTTGGGCCACACTTTTAAAGGAAAGCAAATATTAAAACTGGACAGTCAGAAGTATAAAGAAAAAAATTGAATTGGTCTTTGATTGCGTGTGTTTTCTCAAAAGAAAGTAAGCCCCATGACTTTGAAGAAAAAAAAATACAACTATCTCATTATTAACAAACCATTGATAAAAACGCAACTGGACAGGTTTCATAATTAGCTTTTTGTGTGAGCGCAAAAATCCTCAGAGCAGAAAATATTGCAATTTGTACCAACAGTGGCTCCAGTTCACATTCTTGTGTTGGTCTTTAAGACATTGACGATCGCTACATTCAGCCAGCACGTTAGTGAAGGCACGTGTGACAACTACGGTTTGACAAAACACAATCCTTGATCTATTTTATCCAGATACACTGTCTCCAAACATCTGTTGTTACGACGGTGGCGTTAAGCCACCTTGGTGAGTTGGACGTCCCCGAAGACACGTAACGCCGTCAGGCTGGCGAGCCGCGGGAGGCGATGGGTGAAGCCGCACAGAGGTTGACCGTCCACTAAGATGCGGAACTGCTGGTGCTCGCATACGATCTCCATCTAGTCAGAAAGACAGACACAAAATCGACAACTGTCGATCAACTTCGATAGCGATGATACCAATCGTGATGATATAGACGGTAATAAAAATTGCGACAAAGAAAGCTATAACGAAAGGATAGTTTTTCTTCTTCTACGCCCCAATTTTGCTGCTGTAGACCGTAAATTTCCCCAGTGTGGGACAAATAAAGGATATCTTATAGTGCTAACGACAGCGCACTACTAGCAATAACGGCAACATCAATACGGTAATGATAAAAATAGAACATTAGCACTAATAATAGCGCTAATAGTGATGATTGTAGCGATAATAACAAACATGATTTTTAGCAATCATGCTAAACATTAAAGAACAACGTTGGGATCACGATAGCGATAGATACAATCGCGATAATGCTAGCAATTATGAATGTGACAATGGACAATGATAGCAATGATTGTGATACTGAAAGCGATAATAGTGATAACAATTACCAAAGCGGCAATGCTACGAGCAACCACAAAGATAATATCGACAAGTAAAGCAAACCTGCTTATGATTTTAAAGAAAATCAAAGCAAACTAGCAATGATGATAGTGACATGATGGCGATAACGACAGCAATAGCATTAGCCATAATATTAGCAATAATTCTGCACATTTAATCCATAAATGTGATAGAGGGGAAATGTCATATGAGCATTTTATTGTATGACATGGATTATTAAAAAAAAAAAAAAAAAAAAGTATTACCTTAAAAGGCTCTCCGGGCGCAAAGGGGAAGAAGGAGAGCGTGTTTTCGGCGGGACCCCACTTTCCTGCTAGCCGCGCGTTGCGTTGGACAGCTTTGTCCATGAAGCTGACCTTCAACTGGAGACCCACGTCGCCTTCTGACTCCGCTTCCACTTGCTCCTCCTCCTCCGCCGATTCCTTCTGCTGAGGTGCGCTGGACACCACCACCTCAATACTACATGCCATCATAACAATATTCATCACTGATCCCGGAAGTGAAAATGTCTACTCATCCGTTGATTGCCTTTTTTTTGGGGTCTTGTATCGTTAACGTATCGCATACTAAGAGGAGATACATTTGAATAAAACATTTCCCTGGTATGAGGAAGTCACAATGCATCATCATCCTCAAATCAGTTCTTTTTTCTGGCATTTATCTGCACTCTTGCGCAATTTCTGAACCACTTAGTGTTACTGTCGAAGTAAGTTGTTGTGATGAAAGTGACACTTTCTTGAACAAAGTCACATTATCTTACAAAACCTAAATGTATCAAATGATTCAACTTAATGAACTGCCTTTGAATTATGCATGGACGAATCGAATTACTCAGCGCATATTTCCCCATAAGCAACAATGTGCTTTTATAATTCAAATGCATTACTTCCCTCCAGCGTCACAATGTGCATGCTCCCGCAGCATGTGACTTGCAAATGACCGCACAAACACTGACCTCTTGGGTTTCTTGTCAACAATCCCCATCACGACCAGCTTCATGGAAGGCCGCAGACCGCCCTTTATCTCTCCGATGTACTCCTCCTGTGTGAGACAATGGATTAGCAGGAGAGAACAATAGGATGACATTTACCCCCCCCCCCTTTTTTTTTTTCAATCATTATATTTCTATGGGATGTTGTTTGGAACAGAGAAAAGCCATCTTACGTACATTTCCTTTCTTGTCCTTGTCTTCCATTCCAGTCAGGGTGTGACGCAGTATTGTGGAGGTCTGGAGAGTGGATGCCAAGTGAGGGGGACTGATCATCGCCGGCAAACCCCGCCTGTTGCCATAGAGACTGCCTCCACCGCTCGGTAGAGAGTGACTGGAGACGATTGGCGGAGTTCATGTGAAACGTGTTTGGATGATTAGTTACGCCTGAAAAACTGTATACATGAGCGTGTTTATGTGTGTTCAGCATCTTTATATATGTTTTGATGTTCGCCATCGTAGTATTTTCTACACCAATCTTTTCGTTTTTGCTAATCCAATGCTGCATTATGTAAACTGGTAATCGATCATTTTTTCAAACACACGTCCTTGTTTTTGTGTTCAAGTTCAGGAAAATGATTCGAATGAAACTATATATTTTTTCGAAAAGTCGAGATTAAAATAAACGTTCTTCTTTCACATAGTTAACAACAAACCATTCAGATAAAAATACATTTGTTTCGTACGTATTCCAAAGCAGTGCACGTTTTTGGATTGAACACGAAGGCAGCACTGTACTGGCCTATGACCAACCAGCTGGCTGAAGCGCCGTCAGGTGATCTGCTCACGTGACCGTTCATTGACAGGCAAAAAGCAGCGAACACAACACGGCGACTAAAGCTAAGCTAAGGGAAAGAGTCCCAGAAATTGTTCGGTTAAAACTACATAAAGGCATGAGTAAGTCATGTCATTTTCATTATCTGCCTTGTACCTTTGGTGTTGATGTACTGTTGTTCTTGTTACGGGAGTTTACGTCAACTTTCACTGGTCGGACACGCTGATGCTTATGCTAACGGTAACTTGACTTTTGGGCTTCTGGAACGACAGCGAAAAGATCAAAAGATTTGGATCAAACAGTTGATTCCGTGACTAAATTGTTTAACATTTTTTTTGTTCTAAATATAGTGTTTATCTTCAAAAAGAATTAAATATTTTCCATCGGTAAATACAAATACAACAAAAGCGTTGTGTTATTTGTAATAGCTTTTCTTTTTCAAAAATTATGACATTTTCTCCAAAAATGTCTTCATTGAAAAATATGATTTTACTCTGTTGAGATTATGACTTTCTAGGAAAAAAACGCCAAATTATTTCTCACTGAAAAGTGCATTTTCTCAAAAGAGAAAACATTCTTGTAGCATTAAAAATAAAAGGGTTAAGAAGTTAGATTTTTATCTTGAAAAACAAGACTTGTTTCTTTTTAAAAAATTGAGCGTTTTGGGGGGTGGGGGGAAACAACTGTTTTGCGAAGAAAAAAGGTTTTAGTGCCTATAAAACGTTTTCATTCTGAAAAGTTATATTTTTAAAAAATGAAAAAATACACAAAGAAATGAGGATTTATAAACAAACAAAAAACTTTTTTTTAAATCTGGAATTGTGCTTTTCTCATATCGACCTTTTTTGGGGGGGGGGCAATTTGGCATAACAGAGGAATCCTCTGCCCCACCACGCAGCTTTGTTGTCTTGTTATAATAAGACTTTAATCTTGTAATTGAAGTATTTTTTGAGGTGGTACTTGGTTTGAAAGGTGGTTTGTGGGCCCTTGTAACGAATACGGAAACCATCCATCCATTAAAACTGTTTTTACTAAGTGAGACTGTTATATTTGTTTCAGGTCGAGAAGGCACCAGTGTCCTACTTGGCCTTAGGGAAAGCTGACCTCTCTTAGCCTTCTCCCCTGCCCTGCCCAATCCACAATGGAGACAGCGTCCAAGTACCCCTTCGGCTGCGAGGCCGAAACCTCACTGCGGGACCTCTTCGATTACTTCAAGCGGTGCCTGAGGTGTGGCGAGTGGGAGTTGGCCAGCGCCTGCGTGCCGCAGCTGGTTGCATCTACGGGGATCATCTCAGAGAAAGTGCGGGAGATTATCAAGGCGGCCGTGTGCCATCCTTATCGTTTCAAGTGAGTTAAAGTGGGGTGATGTGTTGAAGTTTTCATGCTGTCTTTGATATTTATTGAACCACGCGGTGTGTCTCTAGATGGGATTCTGTGGGCAGTCCACACAAGTTGGCTTGGTTTTGGCTGCAGGTTTTGGAGCAACGCACTGAAGAGCGGGTAACTAACGGAACATCTGACACGTACACTGAGAGGACTTTTCCAATATTTGTTGAATGAGCATTCGTTAAATGAGGTAGTTTATTGGATTCTTGCCTCATCGTGTGCGGTGTGGACTCAACAATAAGATAATCAATGACTTTGGGGAAGTCATTCATTATTTGAAACGTGCTAAACTTGCCTTTAAAAAAAAAAAAGCTGACTCCAATCTTAAAAAAAAAAAGATTTTAAAAATTGGGAAAATAACTGCTGTTTTTCTAAAAAAAAAAAAAGTAAAATATGACTTTCTTTTAATAACGTGACTTTTTAATCTCAAAAGTTGTCTAATTTTATTATTGTTTTTAACCTATTATTGATTTTTTAAAAAACATTTTTTCTTAATTTATGTAACAAAAAATAAAAGAAAAATCCCCCTGTACCACAAACTTGACAGAATTGACGATGGTCACATCACGCAATTGCGCATTCTGACTTTGACCTTGATTTAATCCTCCATGACAGGTCTCTCCCAGTGTCAGAAACGAGCTAGAGTTCCTGCTGCTGCTGGAACATCTGTGGTCCGAGGGTATCGAAGAGGTTCTTCTGCAGGTTACACTTTTGCCTGATGAAGTCCTTTGTATATTCTCTTTGGATGTGTCGGTGCATTCATCTTTGATGTTTCAGTAGCAGGTGCACGAGGCGTTTGCGGGCAGAAACGTTTCAAGTTCAGCGCATGCCGCCGTTGAGCGTTGTCTGCATACGTTACTGGAGAAGAAGAGGCCCCGGCTCGCGCAGTCGCTGACATATTTCATGCAGGTAACAGAATTTGTGTAAAACCACAAAAGTCTTTGATCTAGAATCAATGAGTGGATAGAATAAAAGTTTTATCTTATTCACATATGTTTGGGACTTTTTTCCTTAACATAATAGGACAATTGTTTTTATTTTTTTAACCCTTTTTTTTCTTAAAAAAAAAAGTCATTTCTCAAAACAACAAAAAAAAAAAAAGTTCCCAGCAATAACATATAAAAGTACAATCGTCTATTGATAAGCAAATATGTCTTTATGTATGACTTAGACAATGTAGGGCTATTTGTTTCTTGAAAAAAAAACAGTTTTGTTCCTAAAATTCTTTTCTTTATCTTGGAAAAAAATCTCCCCAGATTACACTTTGTTCTCTTTTTTTATTAAAAAAATACGTTCCTAAAAAAAATAAAATAAATAAAAACTTTATTCATGTATGATTACATTTTTTTCCTCGGGGCAATAGGGTCAATTTTTCTTGAAATAATAATACACCTTTTCACCTACAAGACAACTTTTATCTTAAAATATTATTTCTCAAAAATGCCTTTTTTCCCCCAACTAAAGCATTTTTTTTCTCTCCCAAAAATACATTGAATGTATGACTATTCAGTATTTACATATACAGTATGATTAGGACATTTTCTCATGATATCTAGACTGTTTTCCTTGTCGAAAAAAAAGAAAACGTTTGACTTAGAAATTAAACCAATAATATTTTTTTCCTCCCCCAAACTAAAAATGTTTCTCAAATTTGACTTGATTTACATCTTGTTCGGGTTAACTAAAATGGTAAAGAACAGTTGAGCGCTATGTCAGCACAATTGAGTACAACCTAGTTCTCAGTCTTGGCATATTTTCCGTAATTGTCCTTATGTTTCCTGAACGAATCTAAAAAACATTTTATTTAAAAAAAAATCTATGGAATTTTTTATCTTGGAAAAAATATGAGGACATTTTTCGATTTCTCTTATTTTTTGGGGGGTCATTTTTTTTAGCTACAGTCGGGCATGGACGACGCATCCCTTCAGAACATCTTCATCTTCCACTTGCTGACCAAATTGGGGAAGCCTGAAATGAATCCCGAGCGGCGGGACGAGTGGGTGGAAGAGATCTACGCTGTTTTAGCTGTGATGCCGTGCAGTCCAGGTGGAGGTAGCGGCCAGTTAGAGGCGCTTTGTGAGACGCTGTGGGCATCCAGAGGGTGGACCCTGAAGGAGGAGAGGGTCCTGAGCTCGCTGCTCCGGCCGCGATCCGACGCGCTCGTCTCGGCGTACTGCTCTGCCGCGCTGAGGCTGCAGCGGGATCGTCTGCTGAGGAGTGCGCCTGACACGCAAGGTGCCGCCAAGTCTACTCATCACTCATTTGGTTAAAGCTTCGTAAACTAATAGCGTGCTGTTTGTCATCTCAAGCGCACCTGCCCGAGTCAGAGAAGCTGGCCCTCAGTCTGTGTTGCCACGGCGATCGTCCGTCCGCGTGGCAGATGATCTACTTTGAGTGCCTCAGCAGCGGGAAACATTTCCTGGAGTTGGTCTTGGTAGGTGATTAAAAAAAACCCACCTTGATTGAGAACCTCCCCAAGTATGGTAAAGCTGCATCGTCGCAAATTTTTGTGGTGCATCCTGTTCACCGTTAATTGCTGAAAATCTCAGCCTGCTGGGTTTTTTTTGTGCTCAGGACAAAGCAATAAAGGTATCACTTAAGCATCTTCTGGTGGAATCTTGGTGGTGTTAGATTGACGGTGTTTTTGCATCTGCGTTTGAGATGTCCTGTTTTGATGGCGGTCCTTGAATGCACCTCGTGTGCCATCAAAAGTGAAAGTCTTTCTGCTTCTCTCTTAATACTTTCTTGTAGCCCGTGTATTCTACTTTGTTGTTACAATTTGCCTGTGTGACCAAACATCTTTAAACAACTTTTTATTTTTATGTTATAAATTTTTTTTATTGTTGCCATATTTTGATATAGGCGACGGCGCTGGACTTGATCAAACACGAGGAGTTTTCTCAGCTAAGGGACATGTTACACTCCGAGTTCCAGCCTTTGTGTCGCCTGCTGCTGTTGCTGGGATGGACGCAGTGTAGTAGTCTGAGCTCAGCTCACAGGCTGCTCGATGTCCTCCATCACCAGCAGGTCGGAAAAAAATGCATTGTTAAAATCAGCTCGCTAGTGTGATAAATGCATTGTTATTAACATTGCGTAAATTAATATATATATTTTTTTTCTTTTAGAGGTCAGCTAATGACTCAGTCCTGCAGGACTTTGCCAATCTTTTGTCCTCGCAGCTTGGCATACTGGAGTGGTGTAAAAACAACAACCCGTAAGTATTTTTTAAAAAATGTTATTACATTTGTTTGCTCATTTTTATTTTTGGCCTATTTATCGTGCGCCTAAAGTCATTTATAACTTACTGTCACAATATCAATAGAAAGTACTAATGTGCCGGCTAATAATGTTTTTTAAAAGTGTTTTTTTTTTCTGGTCTGCGTAGATTTTCTTTCATCCAGGTTATGGTAATCAGCAAAGGTTGAGTCGCGTTAACTGCATTCTTTTTTGTGAATTTGCTGTTTTTCCCCCCCACAAAAACCCATCAAAAGTGGCTTTGGTAGTTATGCTAGTAGGCTAACGTTATGTAGAATTTGTTGCCCTCAGTGTTGTCTTGTGCCCCTGTGGGTGGGTGTAGAGGTGTTCCCACGGAGGCGTTGCTGGCTCAGCTGCACAGTCTGGACAATCACTCGGCCCTCTACATTCTGCACTCTTTGACTCCGCTGGCTCACTTTGAAGAACGCCGCATTCTCGATCTGCTCCAGCAAACGCCAAATCCAGCAGGAAGTCAGTGCGCCGCTTTTCTCGATTACCCCGTCGCCTGCTTTTTGTCTCTTTGTCACCCCATTTTTCACTTTTGTCCTGCAGACGACACCGAGGCCGTTTTGAGTCCTGCGGCGCAGAGGAGCGTCATTCTGTTCCGCGGCTTCTGCGCCATGAAGTACGCTATCTACGCTCTGTGCGTCAATGCGCACAAGAGCTCAGGATGCGGCCAGTGTCAAGCCAAGAGCCAAAGAGCGGCTTGGGAGGGGACGGACCCGAGCCTCGCAACCACTTCATTGGGAGGTTTGTACCAGAATAGTTGAATTGGTTGGTTATCTTCGGTGCTTGGTAAGGTTGTCCTTGTTCCCCTTTTAGATTGCCAGTCACTGTTCCAGCACTACCTGTCCGAGTGCCAACTGTACTTGGAGGCCGTGCCCGCCCTGTTCCGCCTGGAGCTGCTGGAGAACATCTTCTCACTGCTCTTCCTCTCCAGCGCCGACTTCGCTCCGCAAAGTCCTAAAGATGTGACCGTAACAAACCCGGCATCCTCTTCGTTGGAGGGGATCGAGACTCAGACCGAGGAGGACCGCACCAGTGCCCCTCCCGCTGAACCGGATCTGGCCCACCTGATCCGGGGCTGCAACGGCTTCTTGGTGGATGTGGCGGCCATGGAGGGTTTCCTGAAGTTGCTCAAAGAGGGCCTGGAGGGCATGTGTGTGGTGGGCCAGAAGGAGGGACTGGAGACGGGACGAGCGCTCCCCAGGGAGGCGGAGGTGGCGGAGAGCGTGGGCTGCTCCGTGGCCGCCGGGACCTTTGGCGCCCGCCTGCAGAGGTTGTCCAAGCGTACGGCCGAGGCGCAGTGGAGACTGCAGATCGTCGCAAGCAATCAGAGCGGCGGAAGCAGTGAGATGATACAATTTGGGCCTTTTTTTTTTTTTTGCAGTCTGCAGCAGTGATTCCCAACCGGTGTGCCATGTCACATTAGTGTTTCGACGAGGAATTATCTAATTTTTTTAATTGGTGCAAAATGTTTGATTTCATACAAATAATGTAATATGACACCCCTCCACTAGTGGGCAGAAGGTACATAATTGTCTGTCTATCAATTTTTGGGACATTTTCCTTCAGTGGTGTTTTTCTTTTTGCACAATATGTGTCTTGGCTCAAGGTTGGGAAACTCTAGTTTACGAGGAACAGTAATATGCACATTCACAGTTCACACATTTTTTTTAAAGCATTTTAGTTGCATAAAGACCACCCAATGACTGCATGAACCGTCGAGATTTTGAAACATCTCGACTGACATGCAGTTTTTTTAAAGCTTTCAATATGAATTGAAATATAAATATGCAACATAAATAAATTGTGCATTCTTTTTTTATTTTTTCCCCCTTCAAAAGTGGTAGATTGTTCAGACGCGGCGTCCGGTCCCCACAGCTTGCTGATCCCCGCCATGTTGTCTCCTCCGGAGTCTCTGCTCGTGTCCTGCATCCGGCGCGGTAACTTCATGGAGGCCCATCAGGTTACTATGGCAATAAGCACTTTTGACAACGCCTGAACTGTTCCTTCTTTAAACCACTCAATAAATGTTCCACAGGTGTCTCTGGTTTTTGACCTCGAGGCGTCAAGTTCCTGCGGCGAACTGGCCTTCATGGAATGCTACAAGGAAGTGCTGGTGGAGCTGGTCCGGGTGGAGCAGAAGATGGAGACCCAGTCCATGTCATCATCCTCCTCGTCTTCAGAGGGCTTAGTCTCGGGCTCGGCTAGCTCGGCGGCCGGCGCGGCACGCAGCCGGCTTGGCAGCAGCGGACGCTCCACTCTCCAGGCCATCGGAAGCGCTGCAGCCGCAGGTGAGACATTTAGGTGTGCCTTCAGAGGTGGCCAATTCATGGATACAGTGGACACTATGATTAGTATTATAATTTCATTTTTTTTTACTCAATTATTGACTTTTTTATGTTTGCTATTGGCTTTCCCTGCAGGCGTGGCATTCTACTCAATTTCCGACATAGCCAATCGCCTCCTCAGCACGCCCTCCCACCCTCTCCCGACTCTGCAGGATGGCTACTGGACCAGCGGGTGCTCGGCTGAGGCATCCGGATGGGTGGGCGTGCTCCTGGAGCAGCTCAGTCCACCCGCCATGGCCGCCTTTGACCTGGCGTGCTGCCACTGCCAGCTTTGGAAGACATCTCGGCAACTGCTGGACACTGCTGAGCGTCGCCTCAGCAGCAGTCTGGAGGCTCGTGGTATGCATACTACTACAGTTCGGAAGAGCCCAAGAGAATTATTTAAAAAAAAAAAAGAGGGAAAAAAATACAATGAAAAATCAGTCCCCAAATCCAGTTTCAATTCACAATTACGAAATTGAAGTTGAGAGGACTATATTTGTAGAGCCACAAAAAAAGACTCAAGAAGCCATGCCGGAAAAAAGATAAGAAGGCTCCCATTTATGTTTAAAGCAGTCGTTTTGGTTTCGTAGATTTTGGAAAAAAAATTCATCTCTTAAACACAGTTTCACTTGATGTGACATTTGGTAGGCATTTCTACCATGATGAGTCTCGCAAAAAAATCTTACAAATCCATCACTGAAAGGATCAATTTTGGCTATGTCGTGCCCTCTGGGGGAATAAAAAAAAACAACAACAACAATAAAAACTGATATCAAATTTGAACTATATTTACTTGACAAATGGATGATGCCAAATTACCAGATTTCTATTTTTGTCACTATGTGTGAGTGGAGCATGACAGTGAATTTAGAGAACACGACATCATTGTCATCAATGTCTGCTTTCCTCAGGTGTGCAAGTAGACCCCCGAGAGCCTCGTCTCGAGAACATCTGTGGATTTCCTCTGGTCCTACAGCAGATCAGCAAGATTCTGAATCACCCAACAACCAGTAAGAGCTCAGTCAAAATTTTGGGTGAGTCGACAGTGTTGTAAGGCCACTTGCTGCCAAAAATGGCTGCTGATAGTGACCGTCGCTTGCGTTTTTAGAGGGTGCCGCAGGGGAGGAGCAAGTGTGCGCCACTCCGTTTGGCTGCTGCATCCAGGAAGTACTGCTGTGTTGCCACACGACGCTGAGTGAGGAGTGCATCTCCGCTCAACTTGCTCTGATGCAATGCTTGGAAAGCACCTTGCACGTCCTCGGCTCTGCAACCAAAGTAGTGGGTCAGTACGGTAATTATCCTAACTCCTGATGAAGCTTTGTCCATTTGTGAAAATCAGCAAATAATGAATTAAGCCCCCCCCCCGATACGGGGTTTGTATTTATGAGATCCGCGTGGAAGTTTGATGGAGGGCTGTCACGGAACGTTAGCGGCGCGCAACCCCCGGGGACGCAGGGGGCGGGAGGAGTTGGGAGTGTGACAGCGAAAATAAAGAGTGGCCTTGAAAACGCCAATTGTCCGTCTTTTTTTTTTTTTTTTTTTTTTAAGAGGGCGTCGCGTCGTCGTCAAGCTCCCTCATGGCGCTGCTGTCGGAGCAGGCCAGCCTGAAGGCGTCCGAGCTGGACACTCACCCGACGCGTTGCGGCATGAAGCAGCTGCTCCGCTCCCTCGACCAGTTGTGCCCCTTCGAGCCCGACGGAGATCTGGCCAGGCCCGACTTTGTGCGCAGGTTTCTGCACTACGTCGACTCGCTGGCGGCCGTGCTGGTGCGCAGCCTCGGCTCAGAAGGTTTGCGGCCGATCAAAGGCGATGAAAGGAGAAGTTATCGTTGGGTTTCTTACGCCTCGTCACTTTCAGACCAGACAAGTGAGGTGAAGCTGGGGAATCCGTTGCTGGTGTTGCTTCAAGCTCCATCGCAGCTTCTCTCCTACCTGCTGTTTGAACGCCAGGTGTCTCCTGACAGGTATGCTCACTTTTAGCAAGCTTGTTGACTCGTTTATATTTGTATCTATAAACTTCTATTTTTATTTTTATAATCTATATTTTATATTTGTGCATTATCAAGCATTAATAGCTTAAATTTCTTGACCTAAATAAACTGCTGCTCTCTCTAGGCTGCTGTCGCTGCTGCGGGAGGCGGGGCTTGGCCTCAGCATCCAGCAGGTGATAATCCAGCGATGCTGCAAGGTCCTGCATGTGGGGACAACGTTCCCAGAGCCGGACCGGGATTCCATTCAGGCTCGAAAAGACAATGCTCTTTTCAGTGTGTCTGCTTTGACTTTGTTGCTCCAACACCACGCCGGGGAGCATGCGTCCATGCTCGGCATGGCCGAGCTTCCGTCCGACGCCAGCTCTGAGTCCATATCTTCGGAGGATGCCTCCACCACCAGCTCCACCTCCTCCGCCAACCTCTCCGCCTCACCAGCCACGTCCCCGCCGTCATTTTTACTCACGCCATCCGCTCTGGCGTTCCTCAAATCTCGCTCATCCTTGGTGGCAGCTCTGGTGTGTCTGTGTGCATCCAAAGGAGAGGGCCCCCGCTCTCAGCCCACGGGCTGGTCGGGATACTTCCGCAGTGGCCGCAAAGAGCCGCTGCTTGATGGCGAGCAGATTTCCCGTGAGGCGGACGCGCTCCTCCAGGCCTTCCCCGTACTCCGAGCGTACCTGCGCACCATGGCCGAACCTTTACTCGGCCCCTCCTTTTCTGACGACGAGGGCCTCGGCGCATGGGTGTGCGGAAAGCCACTGGTCGGGCTCCTGCTGGCCGGGCCTCGGGAGGAAGCCGCCCGAGGGGTCGCCGCCGACGCCTTCCAGCAGGCTCTGGCCTCCAAGGATGTGGACCGAGCTCTCCGGCTGCTGGAGCTTTACGGGCCTGATTGGGGTCAACAGGGGGAGCTGAGGGACCGCCTGCTTGCCTGGGCTGCCTTAGAGGGTGAGGACACACACACGCACACAGAGAGCTGCATTGCACCCTGTACAGTACGGATCGGACGTACTACAATGAGATGAGGGCACCCTATAGATGTCACCACTTCAAAAGATGTTTTATCCCTTGAAGGCGACAAGGAAGGTGTGGGCCGCCTCTTCCGAGTGCAGGACGCCAATCTGCGCGCCCGTGTGGCCCTGCAGGCCATGGGGCGCTGGCCCCTCTCGGCCTGTACAGAGCTTCTGGACTTCTGCCTGGACAATGACGATGATACGGAGGCCTCACTGAGAGACGACCTACTGCGGAAAAAGAAAGAACTGGACATCTACGGCCGGGTATTGTAATACAAACTGTCTCTGCTATCAAAATGGAGCTCATCAATTCCTTCTTTCTCTGGTGACAGATGTTAGCCTTACACCCGCCGTTGCCGTGGGTTACCTGGCAGGAGCTGAGGGCTGAGTCAAAGGCTAACTCTGAATCCATGCTGGCCCGGATGCTGGAGGCCAAGGTGTGTGTGCCTCTCACCTTTAATGAACAGACACAAAAAAAAAATGACATTAAAAAAAATTAACACAGAATTATACTTTCTACAGGAGTTTTCACTCTGTGCCCAGTGGGCCAAGCTTTATCCCGTGAGCGAGCAATCGAGACTGCAGCTGCAGACAGAGCATCTGCTGCACCTGCTGGACAAGGAACAGACTGATGAAGCCTTCCAGGTACTCGCTTTGTGCTCGGAGGGGACGGACAGAGCAAAAAGAAAAAGGGAACAATAAAGGGCAACTGAAAGAGGCAACGATTGCAAACCTTGCTGGGAGTTGATTTGAGAGGGTACAGACACAGAAAAGAGAAACAACAGCAATAAAAAAAGAAGAAAACATGCATATATTTGGGTTTGGAGGAATCTGTACATAAAAATATTCATTTTACGACAGTAATGTCTCATGCTAATTTACGGTAGCCCATCAATAACATTTGCATTTGGGTGTTAGCATTAAGCTGTCGACATACCAAAACCAAACTGTTTCACACTTACTGTAACGCTTTCAGCATTTTCCTGTACTTAGTTTGCAAGACAGACAGAAAAGACAACGATAGCATCAATGATACCTTCAGCTACTTCCAGAACTCTGACATCTGTCCATTAAAAAAAAAAAAGTCCTGCTAATGTTCTCTTCTATCCTGATTAGCTTCTTGAGGGTCTGGCGTGCGGCCTGGAAGTATGCGAGCGCGCCTTGGACCGCCGCCCCGGCTTATCCGCCTGCCACTTTTTGGCCGACTACATGACGCTGCACTTCCAAAGCCAAGTGTCCCCAGCGCGTCGACGACACATCCACACCCTCAACTTGGGCTCCAAAGTGTTGTTGGCTCTGCCGCCGCCCGCCCGCCAGAACTACTTCCCCCTGCTGTCGGAGCCCCTGCTGATGTTGGAGCAGATGCTCATGAACCTGAAGGTGGACTGGGCCGACGCGACGGTGCGCACCCTGAGGAACCTGCTGGCCGGCCAAGAGGCGGGCTTCGGGCCGGAAGACGTCGACAGGCTTCTGGCCGAGTACGCCCGCAAGGCCTTGGACTTCACATGCGCGCCTCGAGAGAGGTCACGATCCGGTTAGTGATGGTTATGTCGAAAGTGATAGAAACGGGACATCTGCTATTTTGATCAAGGATTGGTTTAAAAACTCAGTCAGGAAATGCAGTTTCACCGAACACCATGAAATTGGGGTGGCATGTCAAACGTCAGTAAACCCTTAAAAAAAGCCAGTTCTATGACAACGCCTTCTTCTTCTTCCAGACTCTGTCATCAGCCTGCAGGACGCTTTTATGCAGTGTCCTGCTCAGGACAGCAGCGCTTTATCGTCCAATCGTCTGGACTCTTCAACGCCCTCCTCGGCAAGTAAGTCCGCACTTGCCGTTTGACTTGACGTGACACACTCCCCGACTCCCCTCAAAATTGATTGCCGTCTGCCCCGTTATAGGCAGCACGCCCACGCACACCTCCTCCACGAACAGCGGCGACAGAGAGCGGGACCGAGGCTCCGCAGGGAGGAAGCGGTCCTCGCCCGCCAAATTCCAACCGCCGGAACAGCCCCCGGACCGGAAGGACTGGGTGCCTGACACCAAGCAGCTCGTGTGCATGGTCTGCCGGCGGGAGAGGTTTACCATGGTGAGCGATAGGGCGGAACAATTTTCGATTATTTTTCCGATATAGAGAAAATAAACATATTTACACATCTGAAAAATAGAGCCAACCGACTGATTGAAATTAGTATTTTTGTTTTCTCTCCTTCCAAATTGCAGCGTTTGCGATTTGAAAATAGCAATCTACTACAGTGAGATGTCGGTTTGAATTTGATTGTTCAGGACTGGTGAGCAGCGGGCACCATGAGCTTCTTCGTTCTCGTTAACGCCTCTACATGGGCCCACTCCTTTTCACAAAGCCTGTTTTTCTGAGTTTTATTTAGACAGCAGTTTATTTATTTGAAGTCTTTTGGACCTACAGTATCTTCCTCGAACCTTTGAAGGCATGCACCCCCTTCAACATTGTTAGCGGTTTGGCGCACCCCTTCTCGCAAATTTCTTTTCAGTGTCTCTTAGCCGTAGTGTTTTAAACCCAATGTGTGAAGTCTCTTGAAATGTTTTTTTATCAAACTTTATAAGCCAACCACCACTTTCAAATTCCTGACAGGGTTGGCGCACCCTCTCATAAAACCAGTTATTCTAATTTATTTTGTGTGCCTTGAAAAGTTTGAGGAATATCGGTGTGAGAGACTAAAACTAAAAGACGCTGACATTTAAATTTTTTGGCGAACAAAGCAAAGTAAAAGTGTCATAAAGACACTTTTGATGTCACGCCTGATCCTGCCTACCATAAAAAAAAAACGACTGTATTAATAATTGCGACAATAATGAACAGAGCGTCTCTGTCGTCAGTTCAACCGGCGGCATCACTGTCGGCGTTGCGGTCGCCTGGTTTGTCAAGCTTGCTCGGAGCGCAAGATGGCCGTCGAGGGATGTCCCGGAGAGGACGTCAGAGTGTGTGACCAGTGTTATGCCTACTTTCATCCAGAGTGAGTCGAAGATAATGCTCAGGGCACTTGTGTTTTTCTTTTTGGACATTTTAACAGATGTGGTGTCATTTACCTATGTGTCATTAATATGGTTTTGGCATTAGGGTAACGTCCCAGTTTTTGTTTTAGGCAGAGTAACACTCTTACATTTAACCCTGAGAGTGCATAAATGTGTCCATTGTTAAGCTCAATCAATAAAAGACAAAGGGGGCGGGGGTGCGATGGGAAGAAAGAAAGCAGGAGAGAGGTTTTTAAAAGTCATGCAAATATTTATATAGAATTTAATACATGAGTAGTAATGCTCAAGATTTAAAAAATACAAAACAATTTTACATAAAAACATAATTTCATTTGCCGTTTGTGTGCTGCCTGCTATTTTGTGATTGATTAATTCCAAACACAACCAAATCCCCAGATAGAAGAGGCTGTGATCACTCCATTTTTTAAATTTTGCTTTCCCTTAATAAAATTTCTTTTGTTGTTGTTGTTGTTGTTGCTTTTTACAGGTTATGGTCACATTGAATGCTGTCCAAAGTTTTGAAATTATTTACTATCAGTCTTTTTAATTTTAAACAGTGTGAATATTAGCAGATTTAATTGTTTGTTTGTTTTTTAGAAATACTATGTAACTCATTTGATACAAAAAATAAAAACTTCACAATGTGTAACTATAAATCTAGATTAATATTTCATATTTAGTCAAACCTTATTTCTTTGTTCCCCTGCAGTTCTGACGACGAACTGGAACCAAGTGAAGGTAAATAAATCTAAATTGCCTCGTTTTTGCCTTGCTTCTTTTATCATTGAAAGCTCATAACTGCACAGAATGTGAAAAGTGCAGCTTCCGGTACGCTGGCATGCTTTCTCTTGAGATGTGCTCGCCTTCCGTGCAGCGGCGGCGATCCCCTCCTTGACGGAGGACGCTCTCGACGGCATGTTGCACCTCCCCGAGATTGCCCCCAGACAGATCAGGCTCTCCATGGATCCCGCCGAAAACCAGCAGTTGCGTGACGAGTTCTACTATGAGCAGGTTTGCATTGGAAAAAAAACAATCCTTAAACACCAATGTAAAAAATAGGAGCTTTTGCAACCCGCAAATACTGTACGTGCCGTCACGTTGAAAAAGACTCAGAGTGTTCGCCCAACTAACTGGGTAGTTTATTTCCCAAGGCACCCAGTGCCCACCTGTGCGTGGCCATCTTGTCCCTGCACGGCGACCAGACGGCGTGCGGCCACCAGCTCATCGACCACTGCCGCTCACTGTCCCGCAAGCTGACCAACCCGGAGGTGGACGCCTGCCTGCTGACCGATATCATGCGGCAGCTGCTCTTTAGCGCCAAGCTCATGTTCGTCAAAGTGGGCCGCAACCAGGACCTGGCCTTGTGTGACAGGTGAGGGCTTCAAACGTGGCTCGGTTCCTGTTTGAATGTGGAACTGGTTTCAACTCAAATCCCCCCATACGACCGATTATAGTCATTAGGTATTTTTTTTAACACTTCAGTGCTATTGGTCTGTCCCCACACATTGTCGATTTTACTGGTGACAAAACGCTCGAGCTCCAGCCGTGTCGCCTGCTGGTCGTTCCGCAGCTACATCAGCAAAGTTGACGTGCTGAAGATCCTGGTGGCGGCGAATTACAAACACATTCCCTCCCTGGATGACATCCTCGAGACGATAGCCGTCACGCGGCTACGAAACCAGCTCTTGGAAGCAGAGTATTACCAGCTGGCGGTGGAGGTGAGAGACGCACCGCACCCATTAGCACCTCAAACACGTCACCGTACCACTCACTACATTGTGGGATTTTGTGAAAGGTGTCCACTAAAAGCGGGCTGGACCCCGGCGCCGTGTGGCAAGCGTGGGCCATGGCCTCCTTGAAGGCCGGCAGCCTGACGGCAGCTCGGGAGAAGTTTGCACGGTGTCTGAAGGCCCCCGTGGACCGCAACCAGATCAACATGGGCCCCACGCTGCTGCAGGAGATTGTCAAGCACCTGGAGACCACCGTCAGACCCGTCACCGCCACGGTACACGTGTCTCTTTGTGTTCACCACCAAGCCAGGCGCCGCCTTCTCATCCTAGACTTCATTTTCGGAGTGGTTGGTGCTACCCCGGCCCTAATGTAGTCTGCCTAGCAACAAGCGTCGATACCCTCATGCGATTTATCAAACTGTTTGTCAGGTTTTAGTTGTGAATCAACGTCCATTGTAACTCTGTTCACGTGTTCCCCTGAAGTCTTTGAGCGAGGGCATCTTGGCGCCGCTGCAGGAGCTGGAGGAGGCCCTCAGCGAGAGGTCCGAATGCCCGAGGCGCATCCTCCACCAGGAGTGCCTCTACTACCTGAATGCGTACGCCACTCACCTGGCGCTGGTCAGCTTCCACATGCGCCACGACGCCATGGCGGAGGCCATCTCGTACCTCCTGAACAAGGCCAGCTTCCATTTTGTTGTGACCCTCACTTGAAACCCTGACTTAAAATCTCACCTTGGTTTCACGCCCTAATTTGAAAGAAACACGATCCTTTGCTTGAAATCCCAATTTGAAAATCTAACTTGAAACCCTCGCCGAACCAATGTTTCAACACCTAATTTGATTCACCAACCTCAGTTTGAAAACCTAACCTTGACTTGAAACCCTAGTTTGAAACTCCCTTTGTTTGAAACCTGAGCTCACCTTGGTTTGAAAACCTGGCCCAAACATGCAAACTAGTTTATTTTAAACCTTATGATGAACTTTAATCCCTGATTTAAACCCCCCAGGTTTTCTTGAAACCTTAATTTGAAACCCTAACCTACCCTAGTTTAGGGTTTTGACCCTAATTTTGGCTTGAAACCTTAATCCAAGCATGAACCCTAAATTTGAAATCCTAAACTTGGGTTGAAACACTTCCCAACCTGCACCTTAACTTGAAACCCTGTCTTTTTTTTAAATCCCTAACCCAGACTTGAAATCACAACCCAAGTTTCAGCTCCTACTTTGAAACTCCAACCTTTGTTTGAAACTCAAAATCATAACATTAGTTTGAAACCCTAACCAAAGCATGAACCCTGAATTTGAAACCCTAACTTAGACGTGAAGTTAACTCAGGCTTAATTAGAGACTACAACCTTTGTTTGAAACCCTAACTTGAAACCCCAGCCTTGATTTGAAGCTCTAACACCTGCACTAACCCCTAATTTGACACCCTAAAGTTTAGGGCCTAAACCCATCTTGAAACCCCTACCCAGGCTTAAGAGGAACCCTAAATTGAGTCAAGGACGATTGTTTAAAACCCTAACCCCAGCTTGGACCCCTAAATTGAAACCGCTGTCCCTCAAAGGGTTAAAACCCACAATCGAATGCCCCATCTTGACACGTGACCGATCATATTCACTAGTCTCCTCGCCGCCGCCTCAGGATGCCCCGGATGAGGTGTTCCTGGAGGGCGTTCTGCAACCGGCCCTGGAACGAGGATGTCTGGGAATGCTGCAGGACGTCCTGGAGAAGCTGGACCCAGGCCTGGAGGCGTGCAGCCGCTACCTGATCGCCTCTTGCCAGTGGCTTCAACGGCGCGGCTACTTCCACACACTCTACCAGATCCAGCAGTTCATGATGGTGCGTCGTGGCCTGTTTCAGCGCAAAATGAAATTTGAAGTCATGCAATTGGAGGAGGAAAACATTTGGGGGAAGCCAGCAACTGTATAAAAGCCCTGTTATGTCTTATATCTCTCTAGAATTTTTGTTTCTGGCAAAGTCGTATTTTTAAACCCTAAACTTTGCTTGGAACGTTAATTTGAAACCCTAACCAAGGCTAAACTGATTTGAAACCGTACCCTCTGTTCGAAACCCTTATTTGAAACCTGCGTCTGTGACGACTTCGAGATGTCTCTCGAGATAGCGTAAAGTAGCCTTTCCATGTACAAGGATCACGTGCGTGCGGCCATGACCTGCATCCGCTTCTTCACTCACGGAGCCACTTCTTACCTCTTCCCCCGAGCGGTGTGCACAGGGGACACACACACACACACACACACACACACACACACACACACACACACACACACAGACACGTGGTTCACTTTTTCTGTGTGTGTCAGCGCTGGTTGGTGCGAGCCAAAGAGCACCTGAGGACGTATCTGCAAGAGCAGCAGTCTCGTGGCGCTGTCAGGAGGAAAAAAACACACACACACACACACACACACACACACACACACACACACACACACACACAGTGACACGTGGTTCACTTTTTCTGTGTGTGCGTGTCAGCGCTGGTTGGTGCGAGCCAAAGATCACCTGAGGACGTATCTGCAAGAGCAGCAATCTCGTGGCGCTGTCAGGAGGAAATTGTCCCAAGGAGGCTCCTTCAAGAAGACAATGTCATCAAGTGACGTGTCCAGGTCTGTCTTAACACACTGCACGTGGGCAATAATCCCGCCCGTAAACCAAACCCGTGTCGCAAAACACCACGCGTAACCCAAGAGAATGACACTTTGTTTTAAACAACAACACTTCTTGGGCCTTTTGTCCGCTATCTTCATGCTTTTTGCTCACACATCATGAGGAAACGGCAATCTTGCAATGTCTGGCCCGATTGTCTCAATTAACCACTGTACTCGGATACATGTATTCTTGATCCTCAGAAAAAAAACACCACGCGTAACCCAAGAGAATGACACTTTGTTTTAAACAACCACACGTCTTGGGCCTTTTGTCCGCTATCTTCATGCTTTTGCTAACACATCATGAGGAAACGGCAATCTTGCAATGTCTGCCCCGATTGTCTCAAGTAACCACTGTACTCGGATACTATATATTCTTGATCCTCAGCAAAAAACAAAAAAAAAAACAACTGATCCAACTTTCTTTTTGTCTTCAGGCACGTGAACACCATCGAGCTGCAGCTGGAGGTGACCCGCTTCCTGCACCGTCGCGAGACCCCGCCTGCGGCCGGGTCCGGACCCCCGCCTACTTTATTCGGGGGGAGCCTCGTGAAGGTGGAGGTGGCCTGCAAGGTGACGTGCCCAACAATCTTCTAATTTTGACTCGATGTACAGAACTTTGAATGCAGCTGTGCTTTGGTTGTTTTTAAAGTGCTCCATAAATTGAGTTGGCCGTCGCGAGACCCCGCCTGCGGCCGGGTCCGGACCTCCGCCCACTTTATTTGGGGGGAGCCCCGTGAAGGTGGAGGTGGCCTGCAAGGTGACGTGCCCAACAATCTTCTGATTTTGACTCGATGTACAGAACTGTGCTTTGGTTGACTCCATAAATTGAGTTGACTTACATAAAGTCTCTCAATTATTTTTCACAAAGCCATTTTTTTTTTTAATCTGATTTTTATTTTAGTTCTTTATTTTTTTTAAACCAGTGTTTGAGTGTGTGAGTGTTGTCGTTTGTTTGTTTTCAGGTGATGCTTGGGGGTAAAAATATCGAGGAAGGTTTCGGCATTGCCTACCGAGTCATACAAGTGAGCTCCGGAATGTTTTTTTTTTTTAAACTCCATAATGTATAATGCTTATTATAAACTATGTGGTGTTCACTGCCAGCAAGTAGCCTACATATGTCAAGTCTGCGCTCGCAAGTCAAAGCAAAAAAAAAATAAAAAATAACAATTATGGAATGCCAACCACTGCGTGTTCGTTTTTGTGCAGGACTTCCAGCTGCATGCCCAGACGGTGTATGTGCGCGCCGGACAGCGTCTGGTCCGCCACAGGAAATTCGCAGCGGTGCGCCAGCTGCTCAAGTGCGTCAACGAGTCGGGCACGGCCACCAAGAGTGACAGCGACGCTCTGATCCTCAGCTGCGTGGAGGCGGCCGATAAAGGAGCGGCCGACGTAAGGCACAGATCAGGATTATGGTGGAAAAAGGTGATGTGGTGATATTGGTGGTTTGGTTGTTTTTGTGCTAAGGCCAAAGAGCTGGAAAGTCTCATTCTGGAGACCAAGAGCACGGAAAATAAGGTAAGGCACTGTAATACATTTGCTTCTAAATGTGTTTACATCAAATGGGCATTCTTTTTGTAATTTTGATAAGCAAGACATTGTCTCTTTTTGGGTTTTTTGTTTTTTTTTTAGACCGAAGTTTGTTGTGAATCTTAATTGTCCTTGAGTTATTTTCTTCTGGCTCTATTTTTTTTTTTTTTTTTAGACTTAACCTCACCCATGTGATCGACGGGCTCGTAACGTATTTTCATGCATGAGACTATTAAAAAAAAAAAAAAACAATATAAATGACTCACTTAGATCACAGCCTACCTGCTTTGCAACAAGCTGCGTCCGGCCTACCTGCTGGCTGTCAAAATGGAGGCGAGCAAGGCCGGCCCGTTGGTGCAGAACGTCCTGCGGGCAGCGGAGGCGGCTCAGGACTCTGTGATGCAAAACATCTGCCGCCAGTGGCTGCAGGAGCACCAACACCAAGGGAACAGCAAGCAGCGAGCAGGACCGGCACGACCCAACAACCAGGTCAGGTAACGGAAAATATCGAACACCTAATTGAAGAGTACTGACTGTATTAACTATAAGAAAAAAAAATTACACCCACCTATCTGACCACTGTTACGTAACAACACTGCCTTCCCCAGTCCCCTTGAGTTACTGCTACACAGAATCGATCTACCTCAACTAAAAAGGGAAAAAAATAATAAATCCATCTCACCTTTCCTCAAACAAATCTCAACAAATACAATGTGTGGACACAAGTATTGGGACACCTACAGGAAGTACAATGTGAAGGCTTCCTGCAAGATCCCCAAAATTCGCTCGGTAGCAATCCCAGGAATTTAGGTGAGGGAAAAAGTCATCTCGATACCAGTTTTGCCTATCAGTATGAAATTTTGTGGACATGTTTCTCATATCAGAATGTACAAAGTAGTCTGAAAATGAACAAGAAGATAGCCAACTTGGTTTGAAGCAGCCATTTTAGGGCCAATTCCAAGCCTCGAAAGTTAGAGAGAAAAAAAAATGGCCGCCTGAAACCAGTTTCATCTAGCGATATAGAATTGGGTGGACATGTTTATTATCATAAGAGGACACATGAAAAAAGTCTCAACAACCCCATATCTGGAATTTAACGTGAGGTGAGCCAATTGCTTTGCAGCCATTTCAGTGCAAATTCCAGAGCTTCAAAATTTGAAAGAAAAAAAAAAACATTCTCGCATTCATGAGAGGTGCGTCCCATTACTTTTGTCCAAATGCCAATGTTTAGTTTTAAAGTGTTTCTGTGAATTGTCAAGACACAAGAGACTCGCTTGGAAATGATGCTGTGGATCAATTTTATTTCTTCTCAAATGAAGAAATCGCATTCAATTTGTCTTTTTTTTTCGTCTCTCGTGTTGTTCTCGTTTGGTATCTCCCTTGCTGACACTCAATTTTAGATGATCTTTTACGTCAACAACTGACTCGACAATAGTTTCACTTTCAAAGGGATTGACCCCCCCCACTCCCCCTTCTTGCCGCCTTTTATCCATGTCAAGAAAAAGCCACTTTTGACATGCACCAGAGACATACTTGCACTCTGATCTGCTCACTGATGCACTTTATACTCAGAGTTGAAAATCAGAATCGTCTTGCACAAACGGCTCGTGAAATGACTGCTTTGATGAAAATGTAAGCACATGTGATTTTTCTAATGATTTTTGATTTGTTGTATAATTATGCTGACTAATAAAAAAAAAGTGGAGGCATTATTTACAGTCCCAGAGTTCTCAACCCGTTCCATTATTTATCTATTCATATATTTTTTTTTAAACAAAGCACTTAAATGTGGTGTTACAACTTAGTATTTGCAACTATATAGATCTATGTATAAATATTCTATTATTTCAAAGATTTTTTGATTTTAGAACATTTCAAAATGTAATTCAGTTGGATATTATTATTCATTTATTTCTTCAAAATATCTTTAATACGTTTTTTGCTTGGAAAGTTTTTATTTAATGCTTACAATTATTTAAATGTATAAATAATGAAAAAAAAAGTCAATCATAATAACCTCCTTTTTCTTTTGAAAAATATTATTATAAAATATACAAGAAGTCTACACACCCCTGTTCAAATTCCAGGTTTTTATGATATCAAAAAAATGACCAAAATAAATTTGAGGAGATATAAAATAAACAACTGAAATAATGGGGTTGCACAAGTGTCAGGGTAAGCCTAAGGAGAACAGCTGAACTTTATCAGGGGTTGATCAGAGGCACTTAAAATGGTGGCGGGTTGTACTGGTTATAGGTCACATTAATGGTGGAATTTTTTTTTTTAATTATCCTGTTTTTTTTTTCCCCCATTCATATCACCAAAAAAATGGCATTCGAACAGGGTAATGTGTGTTTCATATCCACTGTAAATCTACTCGAGCAGTGTGACTGTTTGAAAGACCGCAAAGCTTGTTGAAAATGAGTCACCGTGGGCCCGAATGGTAACGGTTTATTTACATGAAATGTAAACATTCAACTCTGCACATGAACGTTACGTGTGGTTCAAAAGGCAAACGAACCTGACTGGTTTAGAAAAGCACACCTGTAAACTCTCAGCATCCTGGTGGGATCGAACAAATGGACCCTCCTCGTCCAGTTTGTCCGTCACCAACTCTTGGTGTTGTTTTCTGTCATTACTATAAAGTAACATTTATCTTACTAATTGTTTGGGGGGGAGAAAAAGCCCTGTGAGATTTTGGCACACACGTGAAGCAGTTTTAGCTGCAAATATGCTTTAAAAAATGAGCTAAAATATTGGATAAATTTAAAAGATGCTGGTCATTGAACCCTGCTTGGACCATTCACAGTATGGCAATACATCCAGCTGCCCCGCCTTCACATTGTGTCACTAAAATGTCTTATTGTTTTGTTGTTGTTATTTTTTTTTTTTTTGCTTTAAAAATACTACACTAGATGAATAAAAGTGATGAATAAAAGTCTTCCAATTAGTCCCACTGGATGCCGAGGAGCTCGCAGCTGGCGTCCCAGAGACGCCGGGCAGTCTCCTCACTCCTCCCCTGTGGGGCCACAAAGGCAGGGCTGCAGTCGCTGCAATGCAAATAAATCAATCAATCAACAGGTTTTCACCCCAAAAAATACATTTTAAAAAATGACCAATTTTAAAAAAGATTTGGCAGGGCTGCAGTCGCTGCAATGCAAATAAATCAAATCAATCAACAGGTTTTCACCCCAAAAAATAAATTTTAAAAAATGACCGTTTAATCATGATTCTTTTTAAGAAGAAATTTGGAATTTCTATGTATGTTTATGTGTTGGGTAAAAAAAAAATTTTCCCATGTATTTTAAAGGGATACTTTTTTTTTAAACTGCTTCATTAGTTTTCATGTACAATTAACATTTTTTAAAATGCCTTTGGTCACTTCCTGTTCCATGAAAATGACATCACATGTGTTCGGGTCAGAAAACAACCAATCACGGCTCAGGTGAAGTTTACAAGCTGAGCCGCGATTGGTCGTTACCGGAGTCCTGAGAACATGTAAACATTTCAGATCATTCAAATGTGATGGAAACCAGATTTCCTCATCCTTAATTCTAGCACCTTAATGTGGTGTGCGATACTTTTAGGAGGGTGGCGGATGGGATGAAGTTGTTGTTGTTGTTCTACCTGAAGTGTTTCCCCGAGATGGAGTGCAGCTCCTCGGCCACGGCGCAGTAGATGCTGGTCTGGGCGCCCTCGCGGGGCGTCTTCAGGAAGACGGACAAGACGCTGAAGATGATCATCATCAGGGTGGAGTGACGCGTCAGGTCCGAGTTCACCGTGCCGGGGTGGACCGAGTTTACCGTCACGTTGCTGCCTAGAAGAATCGTCATGCAGGTCAGCGTCACTCGCATTTTTTATTTTTTTCCTGATGGCCGATCACCTGTTGTTACCTGAGCCCTCGGCAACTGTGGTGTCATTTTCAGTCGACAGCAAGTGGCAAAATGGCCGCCCTCTGAGATGGCTAACAGCTGGATTTTATTGCTTAACTCAAGACTCCAAAAACACACTATTAATCAGAATGCCGTCTTCAGACTAGTCGGGCCGCATAGAACATAATGTATTGAAAACTTTGGGGTTGACTTCCCCTTTAAAGGAAGCCTCTGTTTGTCAGAAGTTTCTTATTTGAGGGAGGCGATTGTTTCCCAAATTGCTGATTATTTAACGGAAGTGTTTGTTCTACGTGACTGATTATTTGAGGGAGGTATTTGTAACTTTATTTCCAAAACTAACTGTTCCCTAAGATGAATCCTTGAGGGAGGCAGGTTAAATAAAAATGAAAAAAAAAAAAAAAGATTTTGCACCTTTAAGACGTCTCGCCAGCTCTCGAGCAAAGAGCACGTTGGCCAGCTTGCTCTGGCAGTATGCCAGTCCACTGTTGTAGCTTCCCTGGCTGTGCAGGTCGTGGAAGCGGATCCAGCCAAAGTTGTGCGCAAGCGACGAAACCACCACGATACGCGCTGGAGCGCTGCGCTCCAGTAGGCCCACCAGTAGTGACGTCAACAGGAAGTGACCTTGAAATGGCGGGAAGAATGAACAGCCGGATGCGGTGAGGTTCCCGGTCCGGATCTCACCTAAGTGATTGACCCCGATGTGCATCTCGAAGCCGTCGTTAGTCTTTGTGTAGGGACACATCATCACCCCCGCATTGTTGATGAGGATGTGAAGCTGGGTGAAGTCTAAAGAATTGTGCCCAAAAAAAAAAATATTTTTGAGAAAACAAACATCAGTCAAGGAACGATGAAATGAGATTTGACAGACTTTTTACCTCGAAGGAATTGTTGCGCGAAGGATCGGATGGAGCAAGTGTCGGCTAAGTCCAGCTCCCGAACCTCCACCTGTGCTTCAGGGTACGCCGCCCGAATGCTGGCCGCCGCCCCCTCGCCTTTGTCCACATCCCGGCACGCCATCACCACCCGAGCTCCTGATCCCGTCAAAATAATACAAAACAGCCCGATTTTGGAAAATAATATAATTGCGACCCCCGCCCCAATATTGCGATTGCAATTTAATGTGCGATCATTTAGTTCTCGGTCCGTCCGCTTTCATAGCAAGCACAAGCAATAAAGGAATCTGTATTCCAATAAACAATCAGATTTATTGTTGAAGTAAGAATAATTATATTGTGTTGTTTTTCCATGTTTAAAGATGTTTCGCAATAGCTTTGTAACCAGCGATGTCGCTATATAATCAGCGATGTCGCAATATAATCAGCGATGTCGCTATATAATCAGCGATGTCGCAATATAATCAGCGATGTCGCGATATAATCAGCGATGTCACAGTCTTTGTATAAACAGCAATGTCATGTGATGTTGAGCAATGTCATTTGTTAAGAACAAAGGTAGCGTGGCGTCAGGCACGCTTAGACTATAAAAGGAGAGATTCGGATACTGAGAGTTTAGAGCCAGTAGAGTCTAGAGTCCGGAGTTCGCAGAGTCCAGAGTCTGCTAAGGGTTGCGTACGGACGCCCAGCTGGTATTGAAGCTCGCTCTACCTGGGGTGTTGGCTCTCCATCCTATTGACGCACGGTAAGGGCTGGATACTATTCTAAGAGCTTGATACACTGATATTTGCTTGTTTGACATATTCTGTGGCGCTAATAAACGTGCAATTTGTTAGTAGCAGATTTGTCTCTTGTGCTATTGAATGATTGTGTGACATATTCTGTGGCGCTAATAAACATGCAATTTGTTAGTAGCAGATTTGTCTCTTGTGTTTCATTTCTGAGCGCCTATCTCCAACGAACCTATTCTAAATTTGATACTGAGCCAGGGCGAGGTATCAGAAATGTTTTAAAACAATTGTCCATAAATGTTTTGGTCCTCTAGGTTAAGCTAATTAAGGCAAAATGACAATGTCAGACCTGAGTTAATCACACCCCCCCCCAAAAAAGAAAAAAAAAGACATCCAACTTTGTTTGTATAAGCAGTTACGAGGTTAATTTTCCTGAATGTGCCCGCAGTGAAAAAGTAACCTCGAGCGGCCAGGTCCAGGGCAGTCTCCTTCCCGATGCCTGTGTTGGCCCCGGTGATGAGGACCGTCTTCCCGTCCAGACGAGCAGATGATACGCACACGCCTCCTGCCGCATATCTTCTGCGGAAAACATCCATATGGGATTGTATCCAACTGATAACCCTCGTGACAAATTGTCGATATGCTATGGTAAAATGTTGCGATATTTTGCATCTAGCGAGTAACCGAACTGCGGGTCAATGGTCACGGGGGGTATTCTGTCACTGTACTCTGTCGGGGGTCACTCTGAAACATGGCACCACAGTGCACAAGTTAGCATGTCAGTGCCACAGTTCTGACGTTGGAGTTTCGAATCCAGGCTCTCGGTGTCAGATGTTTTTTTTTTCTCATAAAAATTGAGGATTTTGTACTATGAAAAGTTATGAGGGAGACACGGAAAATTCATACAATCAAATTATAATAATATGGAAAATTATGCGATTGGCTGGGCTTGGATCCCAGCAAGCCCGCGGCCCTCGTGAGGATAAGCGGCTGAGATAACAGATGGAAAAGATTACCAAAATGTTATGGTGAAAGTGAAAAATGTAAGAAAATGTTTTCAAGAAATGAGAACAAGTTGTAACTTTTTTTCCTCCCCGTAAAATTTTTACTACGGGGAAAATTATTAAAACACAGTAACTTATTCAAAAATAGATACATAAAAATGTCGAGGATAAATTATTTTGGGGGGAGGCGGTAAAATTAACACTACAAAAAAATGAAAATGCCCTCCATAAAAGTGCAATTATGATTGTCTGTCTTCTTGGGGGAAAAAAAAATTATATATGTGGATCATTCGTGTCGCGCGGATGCTGCTAAAAATGTAAAATAGATTACAAAGGAAAAAGTCCGACTCCCCCATTTTTATAACTATGCAAAGAGATGTGTAAAACTGAGGAGACTAACGTTTCCCCCCCCCTATACATTTATGTATGTTCTCATCATATTTGGACTTATCCTCATTTATTTTATTTTGTTTTTATTGCAAAAATGGTCGGCTTAATTATTGACCCGCACGGCGTGAACGACGTCGGGAGGTGCGAGCACGCCATGGAGCGCGCAGAGGTCTTGACCAATGGCGCAGCTGACCCCGCCCATATGGCTGATGTTCCCGCCCACTCACAGCCTCCTGATTGGCCTGCACCTTTCCCACCCTCTGCCCACTTCTCAATCGGCAGCCAATATCGTATGAAATTAGAGCGAATTAAATACAACAGATAACGTTAAATGGGGATTTGTTCTGTCACACGGCGTGGACATCCCTCGCCATGCTAATGCTAATATGCGTCAAAGAAGCGAAATACGTGCTGTCACACGAATCCATGTCAAAGCGTCAAAAGATGGGTTCTTACCGTATGTAAGGAGCGAATAAAACCACCAGGAACGTCACCGCGGCGAGGCCGGCGAGAAATAAGAAAACCCACATCGTTGGAGTACGGATGGATGCTGTCGTGGGTGCTTGGTAGCACAACAGCTGATGCGGGTGGCGAAGCGGGGGTGTCTTAAAGCGAGTGATGCTGCGCGAATGGCATCATGGGTTGTGTAGTTCCATTTTTTCCGATTGCATTTACATTTGTGAAGATATAATTAAGACAGGATGAATAACACATTTGTTATGAGAAAAATATATTCATATTTTTTGGGCTTCTAAAACAAAAAAAAAACAGGCCCTTATGGAGTTGTTCAGTCATAAATCTCCAAAAGTATTTTCAAAACTGTGTGCTGTTTGTGCACGAAAGTGCACGTCTGTGGCTTGCTTGCTCCTTTCCTGTCGGTATTACACAATCGACCTCACTTTACTTTAACAGAGCATCTGGATAGCAGATTAACTATGTGGCTAATGACAATCTGAGCTCAAGGTTGGGACTGCGACAGTACGCAACCAGTGGCAACTTCCAATTCCGCTCTTTGTGGCTGAACGCGTGTTCAGTGAAGCTTCTTGGGTCGAACAACTCGTTTGGTAGAACTTGACTTGTTAAGCAAAAGACATCCAACCTCGCTGAATGCGTCCTTATGTATTTCTGCTTTGTGTCACAAGGTTCAGAATCAGATCTCATCAATAAATTCCACTCTGTCAAAACTGCCTAAACTGAAAGCACCTATAAAAGTCAACATTCACCATAAAATGGACCAAAGAATTTCAGAGAGAGGATATTTTCAATTTCATAATCCCACACTTATTGAACCATTTAAAACTAAAGTACATTGCAAAATTCTCTGAATATAAAATCCTCCATTAATTCTACAAAGTAGGGTGATGAAGATTATGCGGACAAAAATGTAAATAAAGAGAAGTAAAATTACGACTTTATTCTACGAGAGTATTAGTATTAGAGGCATACTGAAATTTTCGAAGGCATTATTTTCATGCAGGAGGGGAAAAAAATCTGATTCAAAGTATTCTAATGAAAAACTCCAACTTCCTGAATATATGCATGGCAGGTTAATGGAACATTCTAAATTGTCCCTAAATGTGAGTGTGAGGCGCAGAAGGTTGTTCGTCAATGGGTGCCCCGCAACCACTTCGGGGTGTCCCCCGGCCACTGCCCGAAAACAGCTGGGACAGGCTCCAGAACGCACGCACCCTTGTGAGGATAAACCGATTAGAAAATACATGGATATTCTAATATTTAAACACAACTTCCAAATGAAACTGTTTTCTTGCTACGTATTTTGATATCGTAATTGTTGGCAAAATATGGTCATAATATGAACAGGCATAATAACATAAATCACATTTTATTTTAAATATGGCCGTAAAGTTAAGGATATAAGGGAAAAAAAAGTGTTTTGGCAAGACATGAACTAATTGACACTACATTACCCAGAAGACACCAATTATAGGTGTTCAAAATGTGCCTGCAAAAATTTGTACAGTAATTTTGAGCCTGCATTAGAATAGAGAATACTTTTCAATCTTTATTCTTAACATAAAAATAAAAAAAATGTACGAAACGCAATATTGTTTGTTGAAACAGCACTTTTTTTCACCAGCCTTTGATTTTTGATCAGGAGGACTTCTTTGCCACTAGATCACGAGGACCATCATGCGGAAATAATTTGGCTTTCTCATAATTTGACCCAACTACTTGAGTTGACATCCTTAATAACCCCTCAAAAGGAGCTAGAATTGAGTCGTTGGTCAATTACCATGTCGTCGGAGGAATTTGAAAAGTTGCACGAAATCTATAGGTCCTTGTACGAGGAGCTAAAGCGAATGCCGGAGAGGCTGCTGAGGAGCAATGGAGGTGCCAAATACATACCGAATTCTACAGTTCTATAGCTCAGCAACACATTTGAATGGAATATTGACAACCTTTGTGTTTTTGTTCATCCACAGAGGAGAAAAAGAGCTTGTTGAGGGCCTTCGACGAGAGGAAAGAGGAGGCGGAGGAAATTGTGAGCCCCCCTGAATGTTTTGGATATGTTAGCTAGCAAGCCGCCATGTTTTCAGCACCTGCACAATCTAAATAGCTACAGGAAAAGAGTTTCAATATTCGTTTTTTAAAGAGGCAAACATCAAACAATAATTTTGAAAGTGTGTTATGAAGTTGGTGCACTGAAAGCAACTGCAGTCTATTACTTTGGCCGACTTTGATTTTTTTCAGCCCTAATTCAAACCAAAATGGTCCACTTCCTGTTCTTTATTTGTTGGAATTTTGTTGTTGTACGGATCTCTCTCTCTCTCTCTCTCTCTCTCTCTCTCTCTCTCTCTCTCTCTCTCTCTGTATGTGTACACACACACATACACACTCTGTATTGCACTTAGATAGGATGAACTCTGAAATTAAAAAAAGGCTGGGTTTTTTTTTTTGGGGGGGGGGGTCCTGTATTGACTCATCCACCCAATTAAGTTGCTCTATCTGGTGTCAGTGGCTTACCCCTAAAATTCAATTTCATTTGGAAAAGCAAAGTTCACGCTCGATTCACAATGAAAAGGAAGTGATGTGTCATGGCTTGTAATCTTGAGATCAAAACGCCACAGGAATGCTCTCCAACCCTGTATTTATTTCCGGATAAGAGCCTTTATCTTCCCTCGGCACGCAAACAAGAACAACCCTGTCCTCGTTTCATCTCAGCTGCAGGGGATGGACGAGGAGCTGCGCGACGCTCCGCCCTCCTACCGAAATTCCATGAGAACGAAGCTGCGTCTCTACCAGCGCGACCTCGCCAAGCTGCAGCGGGATGTCAAGAATTCGGCGCCGCCGCAGTCGGACGGGAGTCACGGTGGCATCTATTCATCGCAAAACCAACAAAGCGTGAGTGTGGAAAGAACGTGGATTGGCATGTTGATCTTTATAGCATCAACATAGCCATCCCTTGTCACTCGCTGGCCACCCCACATCTCGGTGAAAATTTTGCTACTTGGGTCTTGCTGACATTTTCTCATGGCTGCAGTCAGGCAAGGTAGCTTTATTTATATAATCCAAAAATATACGCAAGGTAACTCCACACAAGCAAAGAAGACACAACACCTCCAAGCGTTTGCAAACACAATATTCAGAAGCAGAGAAAACCATAGCATAGAACATTTTCTCACAGCACGTGCACTGACAAAATGTAAACATTAGCAGAACACTTTAAAAACATTTAGAAGCAACTAAGAAAAAAAGATTTTTACATTTTAAACCTTCAAAGTTATGGGTTGATCGATTCTCATTGATCGCCACAGCCATTTTCTTAATAGAACACACCCCACGCCAACATGATTTTCTCTCAGGATGATCGTTCAGAGACATCCAACCATCGTCCCTTTGCCAATTGTGATCGCACGAGGAAGGTGGTTCGCTGTCAAAATGGCTTCCGACTGGTTATTCGTCCCTCTTTGTTCCAGACGCACGTCCAGTCGCAGCGGGCCTTGCTCCTCCAGGGCACCGAGTCCCTGAATAACGCCACGCAGAGCATCGAGCGCAGTCAGCGCCTCGCCGCCGAGTCGGAGCACATCGGCACCGACATCATCGAGGAGCTCGGCGGGCAACGGGAGCAACTGGATCGGGCCAGGGACCGAGTGAGTGTCTTTCAAAGGGGCGCCTGCCGTGTGATGCTTTCAACTTAAACTCGAACGGAAACGAATGCTTGCAGTCAATTTTGGGGGGTTAACAAGCCACCGTAAGCCAGACATCGTAGTGGGGGAGGAAATAGCACATAGTTGAAGCACATTAGGTTTTGCACCACGCTATTTTTTTTCCCATGCTGAATTGATAGCCATGCTAGCATGTTGCCGCGTAAAACAAATACTGCCAAAAGCTTGTTACAAGCCACTGTGTCCGCAGACATATGTTGAACTGCGCTGTGTTTGAGCACAGATTACATGTCACGAGAGTGCGTGATTGTTCTGTTTTTTTTGTTTTGTTTTTTTTAGCTGGTAAATACAGGAGAGAACCTCAGTCGCACGCGGAAAATCCTTCGTTCTATGTCTCGACGGTAAGTGTGAGCTCAGAGTTGATGTGGTCCAACAGTGGAACCTCCCAAGTCGAACGCATTTCCTTTTCGGGAACCGATCGCTTGAGTTCATTCATTTTTAGTGAAATTTTCCTCACAGGTGGGAAGGGAAAATAGAATTGTAAAGTCAAAGTCGATATTTCAGAAATTCTGCCTGGGTGTGTAAAGTTAATGAGCACAAGTCTAACTCGAGAGAAAAGCAAAGTGCTGTGTAAGAAAACCAGAACATTTAAGAGCAGTTCTGGCTTGTGTGCACGATTTGTGACGTTCCACTGCGTGTTTGAGTGACGCAAACGATTGGCTGACGTGCTTTGCTGACCTCCTCCGTCAGGCTCATGACAAACAAGCTGCTGCTGGCTGTCATCATTCTCATGGAACTGGCGATTCTGGGTGCTGTCGTTTACCTCAAGTTCTTTCGGCGATGAGGGTGAAGGAGGGGGGAAAAAGCCTTCGGTCCAGACCTGCTTTCGGGTCCACGAGGTCTTACCGATTGTTCGGCTTTCGATGAGGATTCCTCACCCCATGGGTTACAGAATCAAACATGCACTATTTGATCAGACTGTGAAGACAGAGAAATCCCTCTGGAAGAAAGTTCCGGACATCTGCGGACCAGAAAATGATGTGCGGTGAAGGCGGCACTGGACCCACAACGTGGTCTATGGCAGCCTGTGTTGAACTGAGGTACTTTGTTTAGCAATAGTCAAGATCAGAACACACAGCACAGTTTCTGTCTTCATTTGTTTTCAACAACTTTGCTTTGTATTGCTCAGGTTATTTATTATTATGCTCTCATCACTATACCCCCAAAAAGTTGCTCTGTTCAACGTTTCGATACAGATCGCTCTTATTTCTGAAGGCCAAACAGCTTTGATCACAGTCAGCTTTGGCAAATCTTTTTCGACTTTTTGTTGCCTTTTTTTTTTTTACTTAAAAAAAGTTTGCCAGGTATTTTCACTGCGACGATCTTTCTATTGTTAGCCCTTTCGCACTGCATGGTGACGGCATCAGAGGTAGAGCCGTCATTTCTTGAAGCTCGTGACGCTGGTGTCAGACGAGCACTTTCTGGTCCACCCCAACAAAAAACATCTCTTCTGCATTTTATGGCAAGAAGTCCAGTAAATATGATGACATATGGATTGAGCACTGATTTGGCCATTTTCGAGTGTGAAGCCAAACTGGTGTTTGGAGGCGCACGGCCCGACTGAGCTGCTGGACTAACACTAGCAATCGCACCACCCTGGTGTGAGAATTGCCAACTCGCATTGTTTTAAAGCCTTCATGATTCATGACAACTACGGTTTTCACTTTATTTGGAATTATTTAATTCGTTGATCAGATTGTGAATTGTTTCCCAAATGAGTGATTCTTCCAAGTACCTGCTTTCCCTTTTAGCCCTTTCATGCACCCTGTAACCTGATAACATGATAAGCTGACCACTGCAGATATCTTTCAACCACAACTGTGAGAAGTTCTTCTTTATTTATGAATATCTAAGTTTTTTTAAATGTCTCTTGAGAACGAACATTGACAGATGATTAAAAAAAACAACTGTTCCAAATAGCTACCTCTTCTTCATAAATATCTTGAAATTTTTTTAAAGTGGTGGTCCTGACATTGAACCTTGAGGAACTCCTTCAAAAAACCTCCAATGAACTGCTTTGCTTTGTTTTGTTGAATGTTTTTTAAGAGTATTTATGACCCCCCCCCCAAAACAAAGAGGAAAAAAAACAGCAATTATGTGCTTACGGTTTATAATTAATCTTTATATGTTATAAAACTCGTTCAGATTCAACCTTGAAAGAAAAAAAAATTATATTGTCAAAAAACGGCCCCCGGACAGCAAATCACTTAAGATGGAAGACCAGAAAATAAACTCTTTAATACAAGAACATAAACGCCTGGTAGTTAGTGGTTTTAATGAAATTTGAAATTGTAGCTTCGAGCCTTTGAATTAAAGTTTATCTAACATCGTTTACTCACACATTTTGTATTATTAGTTGTTTCACTGTAAATGAAAAAAAAATTTAACCATCAGGAAAATACAAGTGCATACCCATATGAATTTCTACTTTTCGCTACATCTACAAAAACACTGGCAGATTGTTTCTAATCACTACTTTTTTTTAGGCCATTCTGTCTAAACCAAACCTAAAAAATAAATAGCAGGCATCCATCCCGTCTCACATAAAATACATAAAATAGCAAAATAAATAAGTCGTGTTTGCTATCTCAATTGTCATTACATAGCAAACCTTTCGAGACAGACAGACAAATACTTTCCGCGGTAAAATACAGCACAATGAACAGAGTGGACCAAAAAAATTGTAACAACCCAGCTCTTGGATTCAGTTTAGATTTTTTGGGGGGGTGGGGCGAGGAGGGGGAGGGTTTGGACGCAACACTGTGGAATGCTTTCGGCGTGTTGGAAGAAGTCTGTGGTTTTGTTTGCTCCCGAGCTCTCAGAGGCAAAGCTGCTCCGTGTCGACGTGGTCCTTTGTCGAGGGGATCTCGTCAATGACCCCGTGGGCGCCCTCTCTCGTCTGCCCCAGGGATGACGCGATGACATCGACGGCCAACGAGGCGGTCGCTTCCACGGCTGCCCGGGTTGACCCCACCACAGGGTTCACCTCCACCATGTCCATCACCGACAGCAGACCTGCATGAGTTACGAGAGTCGCACGTGTTACAAAACATCTGGTCTGAGTCAAGGGGGGGGGGGGCACATTATATTTGCATACCTGTGTTGTGAACTTCCTCTGTGATGTAGATGCCCTCCCTGTAGGTCAACCCTCCGTTCACCGGCGTTCCCGTAGCGGGAGCCAGAGACGGGTCGAATGCGTCAATGTCAAAGCTCAAGTGGATGGGTCTTTGTTTTCTGTTGGAGGATGGAGGGGGTGAAAGTTTTTTGTTTTTTTTAAAAGAACCCAACTTGGATTACAGAAGCCAAGCCAGTCATCTTTGATGGTTACCTTGCCAGTACGTGATCGAGAGCAACCTCGGTGACCCTTTGGATGCCGAGTCTGTCGATATCCCTCATGGTGAAGTACTGGATCCCCAAGTTCTTCAGAATGTGGCTGTAAACACGCACAAAATGTCAAACCAGAGGCGGCGAAAGTAAAGAGATCACGAAAGATATGTTCTCAAATGTAGGGAGTAAAATGTAAACAAGTGCAGGTAACTGAAAAAAATCCATTTCAATTGGATCAAGTATTTGTACTTTGTTGTTGACTTCTACTTACTACTCGCCGGGGTCCACATCCCGAAGTCCGATATACACCAGGTCCCTGCAGGAGAGGAATGGCTTCACCCAAGAGAACCCCGGGAGATCTGGCACCTGCGTTGGGACATGCACAAACAGATAAAGTTGACTGGGAACGGCCGTCGATGAGTCATCCTCCACGTTCCGAACCTGACTGCGTCTCACCTTGTCTCGCAGCTCTTTGAGCATGAAGGCCACCGGCTGCCCGTGGAGGTTCCCCGAAGGCGACGTCTCGGGTGTGTTCACATCGGCGTGTGCGTCGACCCAGATGACGCAAAGGTCAGGACACTGTTGGGCGTGGCCCGCCACGGATCCGATTCCAAGGCTTTGGATGAGAAGCAAATGGCGACTTATCAATAAGCAGGAAATTACCAAAAAATTTGGGGGGGGAGGGGTTGGGGGAGGTTTCTGTGGTTACCTGTGGTCCCCTCCCAGCATGACCAGGGTGTGACCAGCACCCACCGCTCTGCTCACAGCGCCCGAGAGCTTCTTTGTGGCAGCGCCCACCGTGCGAGGGAACTTCACGTTCATGTAGGGCTCATCCATCTCCGGGTAGTGGAAGGTGAGGTCGCCAAAGTCGTGCACAGCGTAATCTGACACCGTGGAACACAAGACTCCGCATGTTACACGCAGGGACAGACACTCACGCCACATGGATTCATCAGTTACGCTCGATCAACGCTTGCAGCCTACTACAAATGGCCGCTTTTATGAGGGATTTAGATTTGAGCCCTGCCTCGCAAAGCAAAAGTCCATCCGTAATTGACGCCCAGCTAAAAAGGTTTCGAATTGATGCCACGAAATGGTGCCGAAGCTTTCCCTTCATTTCAATGTAGCTTTTTGGCACCAAGATTGTGTAGAAACATTTTCATATGAGGCGTTTTATCACCCTTGTACTTAATTTTTTTTTTTTTTAGGGCTTCAGCATATCCACTGATTTTTTTATTTTTAATTTTTTAGGTGTGCTCATTTTGGGGATCTGTTTTCATTTGGTTTGCGGTTTTGGTCTTAAGTCATTGTTGAAAATTATCCTCCCAGGCCTGTCTTACTTGCAACATTATGTAATCAAGAGTAATGAAAAACATCTCAAGAAGTCCTGCCTAAAAATAACACAGGCACTCCACTCCGCCAATTTATTTTGCTTGGTCGTACACTAAAGAGTTTTTAAAAAATGTTAATTCCCATTGAGCAACATTAAATTTGGTAGGTGTGTCCATCATGACTCGGCCCACAAAAAAGTCTCAATATTCTGTGGCCTAAGAGACAGGACATCAGCTATTTTGGTTTAGAATTTGATGGAAAATTCCCAAATCCTCAGCAATATGAAATTTGGTCATTTTGTCTATCATTGCAAACCCACAAAAAAGTGTCAAAATACCAACAAAGGAAGTCTGCCATTTTTTTTTTAGAAGTAGCCAGTGCCCGAAATGTCGAAGAGCATGGTGTCAAGCTCAAGGCCAACCACGTCAGTCTATGTGGCCCGCCAGGTCAAATTATGTGCATGGACTTGTTTCCTCCTAAAATACCCAAAATTGCAAACATTGAGATATTGTAAGCATTTTTTATGTGTCCAACCCCACTTAAATAATTTTTTTTAAAACTTGTATTTGATTTTAAAAGTAGTTATCCATCAATTTGTTTGACATGTGATCATATAAGGTGTTCATATATATTTATATGCGTTCAGAGTCATAATTGCCATTCAAGGGAAACCATAACTATGATGTGGCCTGTGACAAAAATGAGCTTGACACCGCTGTGGTGGGGATTTTGTGATTGCGTATACTAGACAGAAAGGGGAATGCTGAATTGTAACCTATTGTTCTGGGCCTTTTCGGCGCACCCATGCCGCAAATCCACTGACACAACATTTACTTGTGCAACTTCCAATCTGATGAGTCATTCCGTGCCAGCCTCCTGTGCAAGAGCCAGTTTACATTCCTTCTGCAGTACCACCAAACCGCACCACACCCTTCAACTCCCGAGCTAGGGTTACAGTCGAGGCAATGGATGTCGAGCAAATATTTAGAGTTGATATGGGGGCAACGTCAATGCAGATGACAGTGTAGTCTTACCATACTGCCCTGGGGGGAAGGGAGGGGGCGCGCAGGACCCATTACCTTTCGCAGGCACATCAGAAATAGACTGAAGGACAATTCTGAAGTGGTCCTGTTATTACGCAAGGTTCCGGCTATCTATAGTGTCCACATGGTGGCCCTGAGCTTTTAATGGACACGGCGTCCAGATACATGTCGGATGTGTCATCCACCCGAATCAATCATTACTTTGTGCCATAAGGTAGATTGACCATGATCGATAAGATTGCTGCGACGGACGTGCGCCGCAGACAGAAACGACGTGGCCGTATCGCGAAAGCCGATGTTGACAGACGGAATTTGTGGTGCTTGCCAAAAAAATGACAAACAGAGCAACGTTGCCTCGAAATGACAAGAGGAATTGAATAAAGTTGCAAATATTTAAACATCTCAACAATAAGGCAAATAAAATAAAATGAACCCAATTTAATAGTTTTGTTCAAAGTATTTTAGGTGCTGATACTTTTGTTCAAAGTATCAGCATTTTCCAAGAATGTTTCATTAACTTTACTTCAACTTCGGTTCACCCACAACTGCCAAAAAAAAATGACAACCAGGTTCACCCCTTCAGCTTGCCCAAATTCAATCTTCAACCCAATTTGTTGGGTCCAAATAAGGTACCCAAACTTGGGCAAAAGCAACCCAACATTCCCCAAGTCCACAGGGCCCACAGTGAGCAGGTTAGAAAAACAACCCAGCATCCTACTGTGCTGCTGGTTACTTTAAACGGTTTGACAATTATCTGCAGCATCTTCACACCTGTCATTGTATTGTAATGCACTGCACTTTCTTTGCTTGAGGACTCGACGCATCATTTACACAGTTGGTTCTAGCCTCCCATTCCTTAAAGACTCTCGAGTTGCTTGTTACTGCAGTAATAGTATGTAGCTCATACTACTGGAATCAAATTCCATCCATCCATCCATTTTCCGATCCGCTTTATCCTCACAAGGGTCGCGGGGGTTGCTGGAGCCTATCCCAGCTGTCTTTGGGCAGTAGGCGGGGGACACCCTGAACCGGTTGCCAGCCAATCGCAGGGCAGGAATCAAATTCTTTGTGTGTTTAATATACTTGGTCAAGAAAGATGTTTCGGATTGGGTCAAGATTTTGATCCAACAAAGGGTAAAAAAAATACCCATACTAATTTTATGACCGAGATTGTCAGGGCTCGCTATAGCGAGCAGTTTTTACACAGGTTGTACCCCACCAATTTTTTTCTTGGCAATATAACTCTTGACTTGCTAATTGTGAATAGGAGGAATGTAGAGCTGGATCGCTGATATATTATTTTAGACGGGGCAAGATTTAATTATAGATCTCCATCCATACTCTGTACAGTTTAACCGAGAGGGGAAGTCGGCCGAGATGCGTTTTGACTACACGGCGTAAATCCCCTTTATGACGTTTTTTGCGCGCGTGGGAGTGGGACGTGCCGCGACACCACATCGGTCAAGTTGCACACACACAAAAAAGAAGAAGAAGAACAAAACAGTGTGTAACCTTTGTGGACTGCGGATTAGGAAGGAAGGAAGGAAGAAAGGGTCTACTTTGTCTGCAGTTTCGGAGCATGCGCAGTGCGAACACGTGGGACTGAGACGCCATTGCAGTTTATTGAAAAATTAAACGAATTTCAATAGTTTACGTGAATTGAGCAAAAATGATACTCAAAGGATATCGGTAGTCCTTGTACGATGGTAAAAATACATACGCGTGTGTATGAACACCCCGGTGAGGTAATTGTTCAAATCTGGTTATGTAACGCCGGTGCTCACCTAAACCGGAGAGCCGCTCGATGAGCCCCGCATCCCTGATCACTTTAGGCCCGTGTTCCACCCCTCTTCTTTTCTAGACAAAATAAAACATATCACATAGAATTGATAAATGTTACGTTTACGAGCTTTGTCAGGTAAATAATATAGTGATACAATGTTTTTTGTTTTTTTTTTACCTGTCCTTGGGAAAAGGGAGCCCCCAGCACGGCCACCGACTGAGCTCGGCTCGGCTGGCCGCCTGTGAGTGCCCGAGTACGGGCAATTTTTATCAGATGTCCCCTGAGAGCCATGGTTCTCTTCTCCTCTCTTAGTCCCCGCCGTGCGTCTGACGAAAGACTGGCGCGAGGTTGCCTCTGGTTCAGATGCCAAACGTGACCCGTCCCGTCACAAGTTCCGGTTTGAAGGAGGCCTACAGCAACTACTTAATATTCATAAGACGAGCAAACGGGATAAACTCAGGGCCGTCCTGGATTATTTGTCTTTTCCAATCGCGCTTGGGAGTTGTATCCCAATCGAACGTCGTAAATGGTGTCGTTACTTATGTCCACACACTGAGCGGGCCCTTCTTAATTCCACAGCCGATGACGTCAGCCAGTGACACACCTTCACGGGGGCCAATGAAACGCGGCTAAATAAGGGGGTTCAGGTTGTGGGCGTGGTCTGTTTGCAAGCCGAGGGAACAAAAGTGCGTGACAGAGTGGAGTTGAAAGTGGAAATTTCCACGGACGGACGCAGCCTAGCGTGGGTTGATGGGATTGTTTACATTGTGACACCTGTTCCAAGCGCAGCTTTTAACCACGTGCTGGTCAAAAACATTGGAACACTTGACACAAATCACGCAAACACCTGTTGATTCACTATCACGCACGCGCACACACTCACACCCACACACACACATTAGCAGAACGGTTTCATTCATTTTATATTATATGTACAGAATATTATATATTCTTTTATATGTCAGATTCCACATGAAAATAGTTTATTTCCAACTACTCTAAAGGTGTTCTCCTTTCAGTGAGTGATTATTTATAACATGGCTGTTACCCACTTTTTCTAATGAGGGCCTACAGAACAAGTACACTTTCCCAGCCTTTATTACACTTTCCCAACCTTTATTGAGCCAAGGCAAATATGTAACATCTGAATTTTTTTGATGGCACACCACCAAACGAAAATGTCGCAAAAAGTGACAAGCTTTCATTTGGCTGATTTTTGAATGCATTTATTGAAATTATTTGCTTTGATTTGCGAGTATACATTTTAGACATGAGCGATGTATGGTGACATTGAACTCAAATCAACTCACTTAATAAGCAGCACTTTGGCAAATAGTGAACTAGTCTCACAAAGAGAGGTTTCAAGCTGTTGAATGCCACTCCCAGTTGAAGTATCTAACTAAACAAAAATCAAGATAATTACAAATTGTGCATTTTAAACCACTCCATGGAGTTGCCTTACGAGAGTCCATTTAGTTTCTAACTCATAAACATGAAATGCCTTTTAGATGGGAATGATTAGCATCGATCGTTTTAGAAGGAACAGATATTTGAACACATGGTGGAGCAACACCTACGCAGATAAAGTAACAATACTCAGAGGTATATATTCGTTACCTAATATTCCAGCATTTTTCTTGTGCCACTTAGTTGTGCTACAAGAAGACGATTCATCGTTTGTCTGCATGACTTAGTTATACTGCCTCCTGGTGGCCGAGGAAGGCACACCCGAGGAGCAGAACAATGAATTGGATTCGAGCCTTAACATGATGTACAAATGTAAAGAAATTTATTTCTTTACATTCTATGTAATTATGTCGTTGCTTAATGTTGTTATAAAGTATTGTTGTACAGCGCTATTTGTCTTCATAAAAGCATGTGAAATGGAGTAGGAAAGAGTAAAAAACAAGTATGCAATTGTTGAAATTGCAAATGCTGCAGTTTTGGGAGGGGGGAAGTCAGTCGGTATTTTATTATTTGTGTGCGTGTGTGTGTGCGTGTGCGTGTGTGTGTGTGTTTAAATTTATAGTGTGTAGATGAGTCCAATGCTTGAGAAGTGCAATCCATGTTGACATATCGTTTATTTATTTAACCTTTCGAGTTGGTTGAAAACCATTTGTCGTTTACACTGATGACCTGGCGAAAAGGCAGCATGCACGGAAGTTACATAAAAGTGACAAGAATGTGAAACATGATAAATTGAAGTGATAAAGGCACAGGTTTGTTTGCATTTTTTTTTTGTTGTAATTTGACTGACTGACTTGTTTACGCCACACTTCTTTGGTAGATATTCGTGAAATTACAGTAAATTCTTAAAAGACTGCAAATAAGAGGTTAGTAAATTCGTAATTCTAATTGGTAACGATAAATAAACTGGAAAGAAACAATAAAAGACCTGAGTGTATTTTGATTACACTCCTGGGTTTATAGTCCATCGTTGTCAGCTCCATTTAACCTCTCGGACATCGGAGTGTGATCTCAGTCAGGGCTTTCGGACGCCCGCCTGCAAGACGGCACTGAGGGCTTGACGGGAAAGTATATCCCTTTTCCCATGATCCTCTTCGAGAAGAAAAAGGGTCCCTCTATTTTCTTGTGTTCCTGAAGACTACCGGTGTCATTTTTTTTTTTAACGCCGAAGCCACACTCGTGATACGCTTTATTCCTCGTGTCCGTTTAATGGGATTGGGTTCGGGCAAACGTGCACCGTTGCCGGCTCGTCCCTTTTAAAACTCCTTTAATAGGTGAGTAACTCGGAACATTAGCTTGCCTGCCGCTAACCTGAGCTAGCTAGGCCACAGAGCTAACACGAGCTATCTGGGCTAAAGCTAGCTAGCATGCTTGGAACATGACCGGCCGCGGTTTTTGGTCGTCCTTATTTATTATTTTTTTGACAGAATAGCCATGTTCTGCGAAAATAACTCGACTCCTTACTGCATTGACATTAAAAGGGGTAGTTGAAGTGTATTTGTGAACGTGTTGGCGTTGAGCTGGATTGTCGTCTTTTCGTCACAGGTTCCTGTTGCCCTCACGATGTCGTTCCCTCCTCCGCTTAATCGCCAGCCGCTGAGCATCCCCCAGCTACCCCCCGGCATCCCCCCGCCTCAGTTCGGCACCTTCGGCCCGCCCGTCCCACCAGGTATCCGGTTCGGAGCGTGTCGAAACACCTTCGGAACCATAGACATTGTGGAAACTGTCGATGCTCCAAGTGAGCGTTTCCACCCTTTTATTGAGGCGAGGCACCCACTTTAGATAAGAAAATTCAATAAAAATGTCACAAAAGCGTGCATATTGACATAATGATGGTCTCGTCACATGTTACTTAATTGACTAACTGAGGATAAATTCTGGCTCTCCTTAGTTGAAAACAAAGCTAATATTCTGACTGATTGGCTAATTTATTCCATCATATTAAGTTAAAAAAAAAAAAAGAAAACAGAACAGTCGATGCATGGAAAAATGCCATTTGAAAAGGTGTAAGGTAAAGCTACAGTTTTAGATTGACTACAACATGGTATTTATCATGTCACAGAGTAAAATTAAGTCATGAAAAGAAACACTAAATTTCTCACCTTTGTCCACTTTCCCTCAAATCACAAGTCTCTTTTCAAACAGCTTCTGAATACATATTAAATTATATCCTTTGTATATTATTTGCAAAGTATGTAATTTGACTAAGTCACAGAATTCCAAAGTATTTAAGTTAACAAACATTGGGTTTGTTGGTTCAAAATATTTAGCTTTTATTAATCCTACAGGAAGTCATGGCTTACTATTGCTTGAAGAGCTTTGTCGTACCGTCTGGCGTCTACTGCAAGGCCGAAGTCTTTTAGGATTCTCTTACAGCACCCTTGTTGGAAATCACTGCCTTTAAACTTAATTACACATATAGTAGTTGGGAATTTCTGTGTTACTCTAATTGGGGCTCAGGGTTTTTTTTTTTCATGGGAATAACTGTTCCCCCACCCCTGATTTATCATGAACAATGGCGCCTATGAAGCTACTGTATTTTAGGGTTGTTCTGGTCATGATGGTGGTCCTTGGAGAGCTGAATATTTTTGGAGATGGTACTTGGTGTAAAAACGTTTTGGCCAACTACTCATATTGTATCTGGCTGCTCAGTAGCCAAACGAAACAGCCAGTGCCCCATTTTAATATAATCACATCACTTTCTGATTGAAATATATCTTTTTCTTTTTTTTTTAACTTCTTATTTCAGGTACTCCCATGATACCAGTTCACATGGGTGTCGTGACCCCCTCTCCCTCAGTGAGTCACAGCTGACCTATGCTACTGTAAATTAGGTTACATTGAGTTGTTGTTTGCCTTTCTGTTTACATTTTGTTTGTGTTGGGCAGGTTCTTGTCCCAACCACAGTTTCTGTTGCACAGAAGCCGATGCTCCCAAACAAGATCAACTTCCGAGCCAAGGAGCCAGAGGACGGCCCCACCACCACTGTGTTTGTGGGCAATATCTCTGAGAAGGCCTCCGACATGCTTGTCAGACAGCTGCTGGCGGTAAGTTCGGAGCAAAAATTTTCAAACCTTACTAAAGCTTTGTGGGTGACATTTGCCATGAAAAAGGTACTCACAACAGAGCTCTGTTCGCCAAGTGTAGCGTTTGTAACTTCTTACAAAGTCGTTCTCTTGTTGATTTGCTTCTGTGTTTTGGATCATTATCCGGTTCTAACACCCATCCTTGTTTGAGCTTCAGCTGTCAGACAAGATGGCCTCAAGTTCTTCTGCAAATTATCTTGATGAAATTTTGAATGAATTTTTCTATTGATGACAGCACGCTGTCCAGTCCCTGAGTTAGCAAAGCACCCATACCATGCTGCTCCCTCCACCATGCATCACACTTGGGATAAAGGTTTGATGTTGGTGTGCTGTGCCATTTTTTTCACCACACATGGCGTCGTGTGATAGGTGCTGCCGTTTCTCACCTCGATGTCCGAGCATTTGAACTACATGCCTAACCAAAACAGCAGCATCTAAATGCTCTCACTGGGGGGGGATTGATGAAAAAATGTGAAATTAAATTTGTCATTTTTTTCACAGTCCAATAATGGGGAATATTCAGTCATACTAAGATTGTCATTTTGTTGTCTGTTTTTTGTAGAAATGTGGTATAGTTCTAAGCTGGAAACGAGTCCAAGGCGCCTCTGGGAAACTTCAAGGTAAAAAAAAAAAACAAACAAACAAACCCCGCAGTGAGCTCATTTCAGTGTGTACAAAATGACTGTCCTGACTCACGTGGATACATTCGGAGTGTTGAACTTGTATTTCCTCCCTCCTTCCACAAGCATTTGGCTTCTGCGAATACAAGGAGCCCGAGTCAACCCTGCGATCCCTGCGACTGCTGCACGAGCTGATGCTGGGCGACAAGAAGCTGCTGAGCTTCAGCTGTCAGACAAGATGGCCTCAAGTTCTTCTGCAAATTATCTTGATGAAATTTTGAATGAATTTTTCTATTGATGACAGCACGCTGTCCAGTCCCTGAGTTAGCAAAGCACCCATACCATGCTGCTCCCTCCACCATGCATCACACTTGGGATAAAGGTTTGATGTTGGTGTGCTGTGCCATTTTTTTCACCACACATGGCGTCGTGTGATAGGTGCTGCCGTTTCTCACCTCGATGTCCGAGCATTTGAACTACATGCCTAACCAAAACAGCAGCATCTAAATGCTCTCACTGGGGGGGGATTGATGAAAAAATGTGAAATTAAATTTGTCATTTTTTTCACAGTCCAATAATGGGGAATATTCAGTCATACTAAGATTGTCATTTTGTTGTCTGTTTTTTGTAGAAATGTGGTATAGTTCTAAGCTGGAAACGAGTCCAAGGCGCCTCTGGGAAACTTCAAGGTAAAAAAAAAAACAAACAAACAAACCCCGCAGTGAGCTCATTTCAGTGTGTACAAAATGACTGTCCTGACTCACGTGGATACATTCGGAGTGTTGAACTTGTATTTCCTCCCTCCTTCCACAAGCATTTGGCTTCTGCGAATACAAGGAGCCCGAGTCAACCCTGCGATCCCTGCGACTGCTGCACGAGCTGATGCTGGGCGACAAGAAGCTGCTGGTCAAAGTGGATGCCAAGACCAAGGCGCAGCTGGACGAATGGAAGGCCAAGAAAAAGAGCGCCAATGGGGTACGCCCCCCCCCCCCACTTCAAGGATACTTCACCGCTATTCTGTCAAAAATGACTTCTTTTTTTTTTCCCTTCCCCCAAGGGAGCGAGCGGCGATGGTAAGGACGAGGAGGAGGTGCTGGATGAAGAGACGCTCCGTCGCGACCAGGCAGCGAGGGCCGCCATCGAAGTGCTCATCCGGGAGTACTCCACTGAACTCAACGCCACCTCTGCAGATGGCAACGGGCAGCTTCGCAAGAAGAGAAAAGACAAGAAAGATGAGGTGTCTGCCACATACTGGGCAGCATTTCGTAGGCCACTGCCGGTCACCCTTTAAGTGTTTGTGGTGTTTTGTGAATTGTCAGGATGACATCAACGCCATAGAACTAGAGGACGACAAGAGGGACTTGATTTCCAGAGAGATCAGCAAATTCCGCGACACACACAAGGTGACCTGTCATAGCTGAGTTGATTATACAGTTATAGAGTCCTTTATAAGAAATGAAATATAAGCTTGTTTTTCCACTAAATTAATATTTTTGTGCTGTACTGTTCTTCTTCCTTAAGAAATTGGAGGAGGAGAAAGGCAAGAAGGAGAAGGAGCGACAAGAGCTGGAGAAGGAGCGGCGAGAGAAGGACAAGGAGCGTGAGCGTGAAAGGGAGCGCCGCGACAGGGAGAAAGAGAAAGAACGGGAACGGGACAAGGAGCGCGAGCGGGACCGGGAACGGGACCGAGACAGGGAGCGTGAACGCGAGCGTGAACGGGAACGGGAGAGGACGAGAGAGCGCGAGCGCGACAGGGAGAAGAGTCGAGACATCAGCGAAGCCCGCAGCCGCTCCAGGTCAGTGTTTTTGTGTCAAAGGCGAAAGTATCCAAATGTTTTTCTCCGTGGGCATTTTACAGAAAAATCGAAAGATATAAAGGAACTTTTAGGAATTCCATTCGACTTGAACCCCGACTCTCAGAACTGTGGGGCGAAAATGCCAGTCACCCTCCATGCTGCTCCTTTTGAAATTCTTCAACTTCAAATCATTCAACACGCTAAAACCAGTCCATCAAGCTTTTATGTCTTGTAATGTTTAAGGTTATTTTGAAAAACTGCTTCTGCTAGATTTGAATATTTTTATTTTTAAGTATGGACTGATTAGGGTCAGTTCGACCAAGCACCGATTCATGGGAAACCAAAAGCAAGAAGTAGAACAAACCATTTTTGTATTTGAAACTGAATTTTTTTTCCCATCTGTGTCTAATGCAGACACACTTTGTTCCTGTTTATGTATAAAACACATCATAACAAATTAGTGGCCACAAACTTTTTTTTTTTTTTTTTTTTACTAACACTTTTCATGCTGACCCCCCTTCACACCTCTTATTCTATTGATTTTTATAATTATTATTTTTCATTGTGTTGCAGGCCATGATATTTTTTGTCACATCAGTTCACTATGGAAATGTCCAGCGTGCTCCAAATGCCTTGTGGGCCATATTTTGGGCAACCCTCGTCTAAAAGTGTTGCATTAAAAATACATGGTTGTCTTTTTTGTATTGTTGTATTCTTTTTAATATATGCAGGGAGAGGCCTAGAGATGAGAAAAAACGGGACCGCGACGAAGATGAGGAAGATGTGTACGAGCGCAGGAGACTGGAGAGGAGACTCAGAGATAAGGAAGCTGCCTATCAAGAGGTAATTTAACCAAAAAAGAGAAAGAAAGAAAATTTGGCTGTTCGACATGACATGCCTTAAAGTCTTAAATTAACATTCTTCGCAAACTGCCTTCTAAAAGTCTTGAAGTCTGAAATGATTTCACTGTCTTGAAAATTGCCCTGACCCAAATTGCTTTCATGTAGTCTTGAAAGCTGACAGGATGCATAAAATGACTTCTAAAGGTCTTGAAAGTTGACATGTTTCAGCACAATGCCTTCAAAAAGTCTTGAATGTAAAAAAGTCATGAAAATGGACGTTCCAACTGAAATGCTTCCGTAAAGTATGCTACATAAATTGCTTTCAAAAGGTCTGGAAATGAGATTCTGCCCCCCCCCCCCCCTCCCACGCACACAACTTGTGTCCACAATAAAAATAAACCTGAATTGAAATCATCCAAAAGGACTCGCTCTCAAAATATACAATTCAGTCCGATTGTGCCGTCGCGCTTTCGCCAGTTATTCCTGTTAACAACTTCTTTGCACAATCGAAACAAATGCGCCGACTACAAATAATGCAGCGAGTCAGTGCATAACCGCTAAGTCTTTGTTTCCCCTCCGGAAGCGGCTGAAAAACTGGGAACTGCGGGAGAGGAAGAAGTCCCGCGACTACTGCAAGGACATGGAGCGGGAGGACGAGCGAAGCCGTGAGACCGTAAGACAAACTTAGAGTATTTTAATTGTATTATTTCACTGGTTGCTTGGTTGTGTTATCTCGATTAATTGTTGTTTCTCGTCAGATGAAAGAAGCCAAAAGACTAAAAGAATTCCTTGAAGATTATGACGATGATCGGGATGATCCCAAATACTACAGGTTGGTGGCTATATGTACTTTTTTTTTTTTTTTTTTTTTTTTTACACGTTGGACTTTATTCTGTATGTCATCTTCTCCATTCGAATGTCCTCCCTGCAGGGGCAGTGCTCTGCAAAAGCGCCTCCGCGACCGCGAAAAGGAGATAGAGATGGACGAGAGGGACCGCAAGAGGGAGAAGGAGGAGCTGGAGGAGATCCGACAGAGGCTCCTGGCCGAGGGTCACCCCGACCCCGACGCCGAAATGCAAAGGGTGAGTTTACCCTGGAAGTTAAGCTGGCTCATATGGCTTTCAAATGCAATGTCCATTATTTTCCCACCTCAAAAATCGGACTCCCTTTGCTTCTCGCATTTTCTTTATTTCTCCTGATACCAAATGAGCTTTGAAACCAGCAAGTGAGACACGCTATAAACTACCGTTTAAAAAAAAAAATTGATTGACTGCTTGGAAAAAGTTTCTAACCTTCAAGTGGTCCATTATGTGCAGATGGAGGAGGAGGCAGAGCGCAGACGGAAGCCTCCTCTAAAGCTAGAATCTGAGGAGAAAGTGAAACAAGAGAAAAAGGAGCGAGAATCCCACCGGGAGTCCCACAAAGAGTCCCACAAAGAGTCCCACCGAGACTCCCACAGAGAGTCCCACAGAGAGTCCCAAAGAGAGGCCCAAAGAGAGGCCCACAGAGAGTCACACAAAGAGTCCCACAGAGAGTCTCACCGGGATCGGGAGAAGAGGACGTCGTCGGCAAAGCCCGCTGAGCCGACGCCTCGAGACCCTCCACCACATTCGGAAGAGGACGAAGAAAATGCGATAGAGGAACGGTGGCGGAGGCGGGAGGAGGAAGAAAAGGAGCAGCAGCAGCAGCAGAATCAACAGCAACAGCAGCAGCAACAGGAGGAGGAGGTGGAGAAGGAGAAGGAACAACAACAACAACAACAACCACCACCACCACCACAACAACAACCGCAGCAACAGCATGTGGCCCACAATGGTGGGGATTCACCTGAGGCTAGGCTGCACCTCAAAGCCCTCATGCGACCAATCAACACCGCTCCCTCTGTGTCCTCTGCCAGCGGGAATGCCACGCCCAACACGCCTGGCACCGACTCCCCGCGCGGCATCATCATTCCAGGCGAGCGAACGCCTGAGGTGCAGCCTCTCGAGGAGCACCGGCCCAAGATTGGCCTCAGTCTCAAGCTGGGTGGGTAAACCGTCAGCACCCTTGTCAGAGGTCGGGGACTCGAGTCACGTGACATGGCTCGAGTCTGGCCGATTTTAAGATTTGGGACTTGTTTGGCAAAATCGAATGGAAGACACACGCTGAATGGTGTGGCTGACCGATACGAAACCGGACATTAATAGTCGTTGACAAAAACAAAGGACATTTGACGTGGCTACGTAGTTTCTCTAACTTATGACTACCGTCAAGTTTTATTGTAACAATATACAGTAGTCGGGCTTGATGGTGGCTCACTGGCTTTTACCCAGGAATGTCGTATATGACGGGAAAATTCACGTCATACAATCTGTTATTTTTTATTGGCTGACACCGCGAGGCCATTCACCTGCGATTGTTCACATTGAAGCCACTTCTTCTTCTCCAGGTTCTACTAACAGCCCCAGCCAGCTGCATGCCGCCAAGCGCAAGAAGCTGGCAGCCGCAGACAGCATCTTCAACAAGTTTAACGACGACGAGGAAGCTGACGAGCAGCCGCGCAAGAGGAAGCTAGTGCCGCTGGACTATGGCGACGACGACAAGAGCTTAGGCCTGGACGGCGCTGACATGTCGGGCGCCAAAGGCGGCGTCAACACCGAGGAGAAGCGCAAGAACATCCGCAGCCTCATCGAGAAGATCCCCACGGCCCGCCCTGAGCTCTTCACCTACCCGTTGGACTGGTCCATGGTCGATTCGGTATAATTGACATGATTTGTTGGCAACCAGTGTTTAGTTTGGGACGTGAATAACCGGTTGAAACTTTGTCACCACGGCAGACTCTGATGGACCGCCGCATCAAACCGTGGATCAACAAGAAAATCATTGAATACATTGGCGAGGAGGAAGCGACGCTGGTCGATTTCGTCTGCTCAAAGGTACGAAATTGCCTTGTCCTGCAGTGCAGCGGCTCCGTCGTGTTGAAACATGTGGTGGAAATATTGCGATCAATGTGTGATTATTTTTCAAGGGTCCATCACGTATTTTTTTTTCTATTAACAAACATGAGCAGTAATTTTGTATTCCGATCATATTATTCGTAAATGTTTTGCTCTTAGGGGTTAGACTTGTGCCAAAATAAAGCCAAATCAACCCTGAATGAATATGAAAGACGGTTTATTTCAATAAGTTGAGTTAACTCACTTAAAAACAAAACACTTTGATTTGCAGTCATTTAAGTCATTCACTACAACACCTTCACAAAATTCTACCGCTCAAGTGTGCCATGAATTAATAATTCCCAAGTCTGATTACAACAATCATGCAAAGAAAGCTGTGGCTTTATCACTTGAGCTTATCGATTTTTGTGTCATATGATGATATGTAGACATGTGGACTGCATTTCTTAAGCATTGAATTTATATAGACGCCATATAAATATAAGCATATATGAAAAAAGGAAAAAAAGCCCACTGGCTGACCAAAATGAAGCCGCCCTTTTTGATTTGAAAATTGCATTCTACATGCTTGGGGAAAAATGCATGTCAAAAATGACACTTCAATTTTAACAATTGTTTTTAATTGTTCCTTCCCTATAGGTGATGGCACACAGCACTCCTCAGGGTATTCTCGATGACGTCGCCATGGTAAGTAAGACAGCTCAGAAATTTTTAGTTCATTCGACAAGATGATCGACCAAACGGGTTTCTTGTGTGTTTAGGTTCTTGATGAGGAAGCGGAAGTGTTCATCGTGAAAATGTGGCGTCTGTTAATATTTGAAACTGAATTCAAGAAGATCGGACTGGCAAAATAACGATTCTCTCGGACCGCTTAGCTCACGGTTGCGGCTCGCCAGCTCCGGATGACGAGAGCCGCCCGCCCGCCCAACGTGGAAAGAAATGACGACGTCGCGATATTGCATGAAGAAACCTTAAGTTGTATTTTTGTTGAGGTTTAAAAAAAAAAAACAAAAAAAACAAAAAAAAAACTGAAAAAAAAACAGGAAAAAAAAAGTCAAACAATTGTATTTCCCCATTTGTTCTCCAGTAAATCAGTCATGGTGGAAGCACTGCTTAGCTGTGTTATCTAATAAATACTGTAAGTTTTTTTAAGGACATACTCTTTGTTGTACATGGAAGTCCTCGGATTAGGATAGAATTCACTTCCTGTCATGAATCCATATTTATCATCCGAACAAGGCCGAACATGCCGTGGTCTATCACTATGTTCGTGCAGCGTTCACTTGATAGTTATGTTAAAAACACTTTTGGGGCATACATAAAAAATAGTATGTATGCCAGGAAATCAGCATTACGATCGCAAGTCAAGGCTGCTATGATCACTGGTCAAGAAAAACTGAGCTATATAATTAAAAAAGTCTTTTTATATAAGTAACTGGTTTGTGTTGGTCAGTGTGAAACTATTAAAGCTGATTAAATGGAATAGAACAAATTAAGAGAGGACTTATCTTACGTCTGGGTGGTAAACTCAAGGCCGGGGGGCCAGGTGAGGCCAGCCAAATCATTTTATGTGGCCCACTGAAGCGAATCAAGTGTCGACGTAATGTTCCTTACTAAATGGATGACATTTTGCGGTTTTGCGCTGTCTGCTTATTTGAAATAAGCAGACAGCGCACCCCGCAGTTTTCAGCGACATCATCCTTTTTATCTAACATTAATGCGCACGTGTCGCGCACTATGATGCGTGTAATTAATTTCGCTGACGGTGAAACCCAGGGTGCTACATTCCATTGTTTCCATCTTACCACTATCAGGGTTTCATACTAACAGTGATATTGTAATATTATGAATTCAGGGTTAGAAGATGGCGGAATGAAGAGGAACGAGGGGGTTTGGGCATTCGCTTTCATCCAACAGCTCCAAAAAAAACATCCATTATGTTCCAAGAGGGGCACTGCGAGGCGGACATGCTAACCAGTCCTCAACCGTGCCGACTGGTTAGCATGTCCGCCTCGCAGTGCAGAGCTGCAGGGTTCAATTCTGCTTCCGGCCTTCCTGTGTGGAGTTTGCATGTTTTCCCCGTGGGTTTTCTCTGGGTATTCCGGTTTCCTCCCACATTCAAACACCATGGCGGGCTAATGGAACACTAAATTGTCCGTAGGTGTGATTGTGAGCGCGAATGGGTAATTGCGATTGGCTGACAACCAGTTCAGGTTGGACACTGCCTACTGCTCGAAGACACCCATGATGTAATCGACAGTAAGTGTTGAGGCCCCAAACCGAGATCTGCGGGCCAAATGGCACCGGGTCAGACAATTAAATTAAAAAAAAATTTGAAATAAAATTGTGGCGGAGCATATATGCGCCAAATGTCCGTTATTAATCGGGTGTGAATACTTGTCAGCAGACAGAAAATTTACTCCAATTCTACAATTAACCAGACATATTATAAAGGGGTACCTCGGATTAGGAAATTGCGTTCCTACGCAGTGACGTAACCCGAATTTATACTTAAAGTAGCAGTTCATATATTTCGAGTAAATGTTTGTATGAAAAAATGTTGGTCCATAACTATTGATGGGGAAAAAAAAAAATCTAAACTCGAAACGTAAGTCATGACTATCATTCGTTACTAGAAGCTTACGTGTTATAAATTGTAGCCATTACTCTGAGGGGATTAATCAAATATAAATACGTATTACATTCTTTTTCTACCAAAACCGAAAAGCACAGCTTCTTCCAACAGCTGGCTGCAACCTGTAGCTGTGACGTGGCAGAAAACATCACGTGACCCGGAAGTGCTGTCCCACTACTCTCCGACAGGCCGAACCAATTCGCGTGTTTGTTTGCCTGCCTTGGCCACTTCTCAGGTGGAGGAAAGACGCATTTTTAAAAATTATTTTGGGACGGGGTTTATATGGAGGACATGAAGGCCGGTGTGGCCTGCATGAACGTCGACGCGTCAAGTCGCCTCGCTCGTCAAACGCCGCCGAGGGCCGGACAATAACCCATCATAGCTTGTTAGCTTAGCCCAGCTAGGAGGAGGCCATCAATTAAAATTACACGTCGTCGTTTTGCTGGCTGCTTGCTAAACTCGTTTGTGCAGACCGACGGTGAGAGCTCTAGGTGTGTCTTTTGCCCCCTCCAAAAGTTTCCCTCTCTCTTGGGGAGATTCGATTCAGCGGGAACGTTCCAAGTGGAGCCATGGAGGACTTCAGCTCCATCAGCTTGCTGTCTCTTGCCATGCTGGTGGGCTGCTATGTGGCAGGGACCATTCCCTTGGCAGTTAACTTCTCAGAGGTAAGATTCGACGACAGGGGTGTCCAAACTTTATCCTGCAAGGGTCACCATGACATGCTTTCATTAATAATTGACTGAACGTCCTCTAACCGTCATTGTCGGTAGTTCAAATTTACATAGCAAAGTTGGAAAATGCAATTTTCAAATCGCAAAGGCGGCAATTAGGAAGGAAGGGAAAAAAAACTTTAATTTCGGTCGGTTGTTGTTGTTTTTTTTTTTTTAGCATGTTCTATTTATACATTGTCCAGATAAGTTCACTGCTTTAAGTGCCGTCCATATGTTTACGTCTCATTGTTTCGTAAAAGATGAAATGTTGAAGCCACAGATTATTTGCATGGTTGTTGGAATCTGATTCAGAGGTACAATGATTGATCGACAACAAAGCGATGATGACATATTTGATCATTTGTCATAATTGATGAAATGTCTTGATACCTTTTTACGCTAAAATTGTCCAGCTGCTCTGAATTTCAGCTTTTCGACAGTAAATATGTGATTTCTGTACTACTTCCTGAAAGCAGACTGATTATCTCTGTGTTGAATCAAAGTATAAAAATTCCTTTTGCTTTTGCAAACAATGGTCGACATTTTGCCCAATTTCAGACATGTTATGGTCCAAACCGGGCAACATTGAAGGGGGAAAAAATTATTACATCATTTTTCAAAATTGTTCAACTTTAATACTGAGCTATTTTTCTGTTGTATGAGTGGCAACAGGTGGATTCGCTGCCATAATTTGTTTCTTTTTTTTCCCCTGTAACGTGTCCAATCAGGAAAAGCTAAAGCTGGTCACTGTGTTGGGAGCGGGACTCCTCTGCGGCACGGCCCTTGCCGTCATCATTCCCGAAGGCGTCCACGCTCTTTACGAGGAGATCCTGGAAGGTAACCAAAGTGAACACAAAACATTATAGACACTAGCAGTCAGCAGCTCCGCTGACACGAGGTTAGTGGGAGGAGGTGCCACACCGTGCTCCAAGGCATTCCAACAGCAGCAACGAGTGCAAACGTTTGTGTGTTTTGGTGAAAAGACATATTACTGCAGCTGACGATCTGATTGACCCCCCCCCCCCCCAACCAAAGTGCTATGAAAATAAAGTTGAGTATCATTTGTCAAATGCAAATATCAGCTTCATGAAAATGGCATTGTTACCTGGGATAAGAAGAAAATCAGCATTTTTCAGATGTTGGTCTAAAAGCGCCCGCTCTCCTACCACCCCATTCATGTCTTTGGTGTCAAAAATGCGGACTGAGTGGATCCTAACATTTTCGCGCAGGGGGCGGGCACCACCCACCCAGTCAGGTGGGCATTGTCGCCGAGGCGTCGGAGGCCAAGGGCGAGGTGGTGGCGGCGGCGGCAGAGGCCGTCCTGGCCGCGGACGGCCACCACGAGCACGGCCACGAGCAGCTGCATGCCTGCATCGGCGTGTCGCTGGTGCTGGGCTTCGTCTTCATGCTGCTGGTTGACCAGATCGGCTCGTCGCACATGCACAGCGCTGAGGGTGAGAAGCCAACGTAGTTGGGATGTAGGGCTGGAAAGATGAATCGAATAACACAAGTACTTTGATTACCAAAATGGTTGACAGAAAATATCTGCCGCACATTTTTATTATTTTTCCACACGGGCTCATGTTAATGCAGCTGCACGCAGAACTTTGTCCACACAAGCAAACACGGGAAGGCTGGATTCACATTTCAACGAATTGTAGAGCATTCCAGTTCAGCGTCAGCTCTTCAAGCACTCACACAGAATTTCTAGTCGTTTTTGTCCTCTTCAGCGTTTATGTAATTGTGTGGGTGTGTGTAACAGATTCAGAATCAGCCAGAGTGGCCTCCTCCAAAATTACCACCACCCTCGGTCTTGTGGTGCATGCTGCCGGTAAGTCGACTTCTGGGTCTTCCCCTTCCAATTATTAACGAGCCCACAGGTGGGCACATTTCAGTGTTCAAATTCCAGATTTAGGTTTTAAAATGGACAGAAGGACCAGGTCATTCGTAGATAGGTTGGGGGTGGAGGGGGGACTTCGAGTTAGTTCCGACTTATTACGTGGCTCGTGAGCTTGCTGGTGGCTAGCCTGACCAGGCGAAAATGAACTCGCATTCCCACTATATGATTGTCTCGTTACTAAAAAAAGAAAAAAACAACAGGGCAATAATTTTTGCAACTCAGTGGCTTTTATTCCCCCGGTGACATTGTTCCAAATTGTATCCCATTGCAACGTTGCAAAGTGTTGCTAATGTAGCCAGTGAGTTTGTCCATTTGTGAGCCGCTCATCATCACGGTTTGTCGCTTCCAGCCGACGGCGTGGCCTTGGGAGCTGCCGCTTCCACCTCTCAAACCAGCGTCCAGCTCATCGTTTTTGTCGCTATCATGCTCCACAAGGTATTATTCTTTATTACGATTTACATAGCTCTCATTGAAATAGATCAACTGTCTTTCATCGTACTTCCTGGTTGATTTTCCTTTATTTTAGTGGAAGACGAATCTGTAAAACCAACTCGTTTGTGTAAATTCCAACCTGGTCTTGTCCTACAGATTAATATATTGCTATATTGCTTTTTTGTTAAAAAAAATACATGGGAAGGAGGACCTTGAAAAAAAAAAATAGCCTCTAAAATTGCAATATTGAGCCTTTTCTGAAAGATGTGACGGCATCTCTTCCGCAGGCCCCCGCCGCCTTTGGCCTGGTGTCCTTCCTCATGCACGCCGGGCTGGAGAGGAATCGAATCCGCAAGCACCTGCTGGTCTTTGCCCTGGCAGCGCCCGTCCTGGCCATGCTCACCTTCCTCGGACTGAGCCAGGTACAACCCGAATGACCTTGTGAGGTGGCGGCTCTTTGGACCACCCTCGCCGTTGTCC